GCAGCGAAAACAAAAGGAAGAACCCGAAAAATCACCAGGCCATACCAGAAGGCGAGTGAAGCAACAAAGGCACCATGCGGAAACCAGGGATCCCCCCAGTCAGGATCCCCAAGATCACATGGCGCAAGCCGATGGGCATAACAACTCACCCATAGTCACTTCGAAGCAAACAACGACAACGTCGCGTCGCAACGAGAGTGGTGAAAAGAAAGGTGAAACGGACAGTGAAACACGAGCTAATGTGAGAAGAGCAAATGTGAAACGGACAGTGAAACAGCCCTGCGGGTGCGCTCAGAGTCCGCTCAGTAGTGCTTTTCCGATCATCATACTCTTGGGCAATTTCCTGTGCTCAGCCCTGGATAGGCACAGTGCCAAAAGACGGTTGACTTGGAGAACTGCCAGAATGAGGAAGCGGTGAGAGACATTCTACAAAAACATCTCTCAAGGCTCCATCATGGTACACCTGCTGAAACCTCATTTACAATGGGAAAGAGTTTAAAGAGTTCCAGCTTTGTGACTCCAGACGCCTCCGCAAGATGATGTCATTAAATTGTTCGATTTGTTTGATGTCCATTTTTGGGGTTGGAAAGGTATATAGAATTTGGATTGCCAAAGGCGGTCCTCCCCAGTACCGCTGCAGTTCGCAGGAAGCGCTCTATGAAAGTTGGCACCTTTATACCGCTAATGGCTCTTAGGTATCCATGTCTTGGCCACTTAGCCGCGGCAGGGACCAAAAAAGTGACAATGCTGGACCACTAGCCCAGCACACTCCAGGCACTGTGAAAATCCACATCAATGGACGGAGAGATCAGTTGCGTGCATATTACTTCGTATTTGGTTGTGTTGATGGTCGACAAGCTCGTGAATGAGCGCATCACGTTGCGTACAGTAGTTGAGATTTTATTGAATATCATCTTCAGATGATTTGTTTTTGGTATGACAAGCTATTGAATGAATGTATCATACTGCGTAGTTGAGATTTGAGCGAATATCATCTGCGGATGATGTACTTTTGGATGCTTTTGATGCTCAACGAGCATATTGATGCTTCAGGATGCTTAACGAGCACAACCGACACTGCGGTTGCACTCGTTATGAATGTACACCGGTTTGTGCCAAGCCATCGTACTGGATGTATCTGGAAGGAGTGAATTCATCTATGAATTCATGTGGAAATGGGTGAATAGATTTGTTTTGGACAAGTTTCATCTACGGATGAGGTATGATGTGTGGTTTTCAACGTTTTCTGGAAGCTTGCATTCTGCATGATGTTTTCGATAACTATGGTTGACGGTTGAGGATGCTTTTGTGCAGAACAACGTTTGCTGAAAAATGGTTTTTGGAGTTGCGGAATTTGATGTGGAGATGATGAAGCTGGATTTTCCACTTGCATGGCAATTTGAAATGTCTTTTATTGTCTTCGCATGTGCATGCTCGACAACAGACTCCAAACCTTTTTCAACTTAGTTTCATTTCAACAACAACTTTGTGGACGAGAAGTTTGTGAGACTGTTTTTCGTTTTGCTGCATGTGGGCGACTGACTTTACTTTGGAATTTGATGCTCCAGCACGGTGCATGTCAACAAGGATGAGAGAAACAAAGCAGCACGGCACAGCGGCTGACAAATAGCCAGACAGCTTACTTTGCTTGTTTTCGTGTGTTGCGTGAAAAAGGGGGAGCGAGGTCAAGTGAGAATTTGAGTTTGGTTTTGACCTGTGTGTTTTTGCAAGTTTTATCGGCATCGCCGCATCTGCACGGACCCAGAGCGTAGGTCGACGCGCACGACGCGCATGCGGTGGTTGTAAGTCTGAATTTTCGCATGGTAGCTGAGCTTCGGCTCACGCATAGGACGCGAGTAATACGAGTAAGATGATCCAGGGAGGAGGTAGGTAATTCAGGAGCTGAGATGCAACCACCAGGATTAGAAATGCCGATGCCACGAGGTTCGCCGACTAGGCTAGAAGCAGGTCAAGCGAATGGTGCGGAAACGACTTCGCCAACCGGTAATGTAAATGCAGGTGCCCCAGGGCAGGCAGGAGTAGGAATTCTAGGCACGGCAGCTGCGAGCTCAGTTGGTGTCCGAACCTTAGTTGGTGGTCCGCAGATGCTGCCGATGACAGGAGGGTACGGTCCTGAAAGGAGACAAGGAGGTCTCATGGATCCAAGAGAGTGTTGTGGCTGGAATGTAAGTTTGAATGGACAAAGTTGCACAAGTTGTGGGTATCAACAAGGTGCATGTCATGGTTTTGGAGGATGCACGGGCTGTGGAGTTCAGCAAAGTGCATGGATGCCGCCGAAGCAGAGCTGTTCCTTGCCGCAGATCAGTGAGAGCTCCATGACGTCCCCCTCTGAGCCAGACCTATGCTAGCTTGCCCGTGTGCTTCCATCTGCCCTGCTCCTGGGCTGGCCGGCCGCTGGGGGAAGGACATGTTCAGGTGACCGCTGTTACTGTGATCCCTTCGGTCGGTTGGCACTGGAGCTTGCTGGGGGGGAGCCCGCGTGGATTTCCACATAGCGCGTGCGGCACGTCCTGGCGAGGTTTTTCCCTACCCCAAGGGTGGGACTTTCCTTTCCTTAACCCCAAATTCTCGTGTTTGGCAGTGTGTCCTTCACCGGCACTGGTTGATTGCTACCCTGCTGTTTTTGTTTGCAAGGGATAAGATCTCCCTTGCAGGAACTCACAGAGCCGGATGTCAGGCTGGAGATGCAAAATTTCGGTTCTACCACAGTTTTGTGCCAGTTTTGATGTCCTTAGTTGCGGAGTCTTGCCGGAGTCGGGCGGGGTCGGTACACCTGTTGAAACCTCATTTAGAATGGGGAAAGAGTTGAAAGCGTTCCAACTTTGTGACTCCAGACGACTCCGCAAAAAACGCAAGATGCGCAAGATGATTTCACAAAATTGTTCGATTTGTTTGATGCCCATTTTTGGGGTTGGACAGGTATATAGAATTTGGACCCCCAAAGGCGTCCTCCCCAGTACGTACACTGCCAGGATAGGCTGTCGCAGTGCGATCATGGCGGCCACTTCATGACACCCACCGTACTGCTGGCTCGCATCCATCAAGGCTATGCTTACCTTGGACAGCGACTGGGAGAGCTCAGAGATCGCATCCCAAGTTCTGCCGTGACAGAACCACCAGTAGCGATGAGGACCCGCTTCTGAGCCATAAGTCGATTATGATCACTGCAGGGTACGTCGATTTCCGTTGACTAGGCTGGTCCTTTCCCTCTTCTATGCGCCCAAGCAGCCGGCTGAATATCTGCTGGCCAGGGGGCCGGAAGTCAACGATCTGGTCACTCAGGGCTTTGGCAGCCACGTTTTCTTTGGTAAATACTACTGCACTAAAGTCCGACAGTACACAGCCAAGAGCAATGAGGAGGACAGCAAGGGAGCGCATTTTCCCAGCGCCAGACACCTGCGATGCATAGATTCGAGCGTCCAGTGAACAAAGCTAAAAGCATTGCTGCCGCAACTGCTAAGGCATGCCCATTACCGTGCGCCACCGGTGCCATAAGGTCACTCCGGATGTTCATCTCCTGGCAGGTCGAGATGTTTCGCAATTGGTGTAAGAAAGCGTCGCAGCAAGCACACCAGTGCATCTGTTAGCCTCGTTCGCTGCTCGACTCCCATGCGTTTGAAGGGGGCTCCATGCTGCACTATGCCCATCGCTAAGGGCAGTCTCGCCGGGTTGGCCTTTGCGAAGGCTGTCATCTCTCGCCGGCTTTTAGTATTGCCAAGGTAGAGGAGACGAGTTAATCCGGCAGCAAAATTGGCAGCATCGGCGTTTTTGACATCATTGGCGTCGTCGCTAGTGCATGCTTCAAGTCCCTGGTGCAGCGTTGCTCACTACTGGCATGTTCATGGCTAGCCCTGAAACGTATTTCATTTTTCATTTCGAATATTTCACGTGTGATTCGTTTCCGGTCGGTTATCACAATGGCAAGCTTGCCTTGGAGATAATCATACAGATGAGTTTGCAAAATCCTTGTGGAACAATTGCACTGGCATGTTTCCGCTCTTTGTCCTCATGACATCCTACGTATAGAGGGCTTCCAACATCCTCTTCTCTTGCAACTTCGAAGCCTTGAATCACTCCGATGCTGAAGGTGGGCCCTTGAATCCTGTTTCGCAGTTTAGCCAACACCACCACGCTGCTGAGTGGGAGTTTCCTCATTATGTGCAGGCGCATGATATATGCCTGTTCTCTTCATATGTGACATTGATCTCCCTTCAATGTGTCCCGTCCATTCTATGCCAAAACATGGAAAACTTTGTCTTTGACATCCCTCAATATAGATGAACTTGCGAGTATACTGGGTGTTTTCATGCGAAACGATCTGCCAAGCTCGCTTTCGTCACTTTCCACGGGGCCTGAAATTTTTGTCTCATAAACAAATGTTTCAACATTCATTGGCTTGTGGCTGTCACAACCGGAGGTCAGCATTTTTTCGCTGATTAGACGTACAAGTGTTGAGAATTTAGACACATGGACAATTCTGCAGCTGTTTGACGATTCAAAAATGTAACCGTAAGGTCCTTGAATCCTTTGCATCGTGCAATTGGCGGCGTTTTTACAACCAAAACGCTAGCGTTTTTGAAAATCAAAACTTTCGTCATCAATATTGATCAATGTTGGTCATTGTGAAATGCAGACACGCAACAACATTTTTTTTACAATTTGTGTTTGCGTTAAACAAAAAAAAATGAACAGACAAAATTCAATTTTTTGTACATGAAGGGCATGGATTTCACATTGACATGTTTACCGGGAACACCAATGGTGGCGATAAACATCTTGATGCGCAAGGAGGTGGGACTTTTTAGTCGGGACGCCAACAGATCATTTTGGATTTCCAATGATGATTTGCAATGGAATTTTAGAATTCAGTTTGTTTTTTTGCCGCATCATATCTTTTCTGCATGTGAGAGAAAAATAGAAAAAACGATTGGTGCTGCAGTTGGTTTCGACACAGGTGGTTGGTTGGTGAAGTTCGAGTGATGGATTTTGCTTTGGTTGCCAACCATGCCACTTAGCTGCAAACAAGTGTCGAACCAATTGGAGAGTTGTTGACAGTGTTATAAACATAATCTTCAACACCATCTTTTGGAAGGTATGTAGCCTTGGAAACATCATCAATTTCCTCAACAATATGTTTTTGTTTGGTTTGGTTTCAAATTTTCAGAGAACTGTTGTGTTGTTCCGGCAATTTTTTTGCGTGGGGTGTACTATTCCAGCACTATTACAACGTTTTTCGGCGCATGTGTTTGGCCTGATATGTTTGGTTAATTAACGTATTGCAATTGCAAAACAATCATTCGCGATTTGAGAATATACTATGAAATTGGGTCACGTGTTGTTGCGCTGGACCGACCAATATGAACCACATGTGATGTGACATTTGTACACCGCGACAGGAGAATTTGCAAGGAAAAATGCAATCAGATCCTGGTGCGAGAGTCCCCATGACATGGCTGCCGGCAATTCCTTATCTGAAATGATTTCGTTTCCATATCTGAAATTTTCGTATCGCTCAATACTGTTTGTAGAAACTTGATTGTGTGGTGGTCTATCATCTAATGTTGTCTCCATAGAAAAACTTCTTCCACTTGAATGGATCCAGAGGAACAAATGCAGATTCCTTACATTTGATCGCAACATTCACATGGTTTCTAGTAACGTTTTCCCTCAATCCATTGACTGGATCCTTTGCGAGTCAACCTTAGGTTGAAACATATCATGGTGACTCAGTTCGGGTTGCAACCTACGAGGCCCTGTTGCAAGGTCTGCAAGGTGTTCTCTGTTCACAGGTAGTATTTACCTCCTTAATTTCGGTAGAAATTTCAGACTGGTAAATAGTTAAAAAATACTCTACTGGTAAATATCAGAGCTAGACATTTTGAAATATGATTTTGAACGGTTCGGAACACAGGACTGCATAATCAACCACTTTATTGTTATTTTTTTTGGGGGCCAATGATGGCCCAGAGGAAACACAGGTGGTTTCACATGCAAAGCTTTTGTTTGACCATGAACTGGGTTGGTCCTAAACAAGGGAACATGGGAAATGCATGGAAATACCGGGAGATCTTAGGATATATTTTTCATTTTTTAGGGAACCAACATGGGGCCTGGGAAATTCGCGCGTGGTGCAGGGCAAAGGCCGAGTGCTGTTGGCTGAAGTGGACTTTGAGCCAGGAGAAGTTGCATTTTTCAACCATCACCACTGAGATGGTCAAATGCGAATTGGTTTCCCCAAAAGTGATAAAGGACATATATGAAAAGATAAGGAAACCTGTACTTCCGATGGGTGTGTCAACACTATACGAGTAGACCATCAAGTGGGGGCACAACCTTGCCGGCCCAGTTTGTCTCCAGCTGGAGTACTTGACTCACACCGCACAACTCAGCAGACAGAACTGATCCACAATTAGCCAAATTTTGTAGATGTGATTCGATTGAGAGGGGATATGGAACTATAAGTGACTATAAGATTTTAAAACCACCTTTCTGCTTTGCAACAGACCTCTTGTCTTGATGCCTCGTGGTCAAGGGATGTTATTCCTGACGCGACAGGAGAGCGAATCCTATTGGAATATCCTTTGATTGAGGCAGAATTTCTTCAGCCGTGGGAGGGTTCCCAGTGGATGTAGGGGTCAAGGACTGTACTTTCAAATCCCAATATTTTCCTGGTGGATCGCAGGAATCTCGTGGCATGATGAAATCTGCTTCTCCCCCTTGGGTATTGCTGAGCGACAATCTGTTACAAGATGAAGCCCACGAACCCGAATGCTCACACGTATGTTAATGGTACAGATGTCAAAACACATGGTTATGCAGTCACGCACAATACCTTTCTGCAATAGTTTATATTTGAACAGTCTTGTACATGTTTCCCTTGTTGCCAGTCTGCAGTGTGGGGTGGAAAGTGTAGAGTGTGGAGTGTGGAGTGTGAAGTAAGGAGTGTGGAGTGTAAAGTGTGGAGTGGGGAGTGTAGACTGTGTAAAGTGTAGAATGCGGAGTATAAAGTGTAGAGTGTGGAGTAAGTGTAAAGTGTAGAGTGTGGAGTGTGGAGTGTAAAGTGTGGAGTGTAAAGTGTGGAGTGAGGAGTGTGGAGTGGAAAGTGTAGAGTGTGGTGTGTAAAGTGTGGAGTGTAAAGTGTGGAGTGTGGAGTGCAAAGCGTGGAGTGTAAAGTGTGGAGTGAGGAGTGTAAAGTGTGGAATGCGGAGTGTAAAGTGTGGAGTGAGGAGTGTAAAGTGTGGAGTGTGGAGCGAGGAGTGAGGAGTGTAAAGTGTGGAATGTGGAGTGTAAAGTGTGGAGTGAGGAGTGTAAAGTGTGGAGTGTGGAGCGAGGAGTGTAAAGTGTGAAGTGTAAAGTGTGGAGTGTGGAGCGTAAAGTGTAGAGTGCGGAGTGTGGAGTGGAAAGTGTAGAGTGTGGTGTGTAGAGTGTGGAGTGTGGAGCGTAAAGTGTAGAGTGCGGAGTGTGGAGTGGAAAGTGTAGAGTGTGGTGTGTAGAGTGTGGAGTGTGGAGTGTAAAGTGAGGAGTGCAAAGTGTGGAGTGTGGAGTGAGGAGTGTAAAGTATAAAGTGTGGAGTGTGGAGTGCACAGTAAAGTGTGGAGTGTGGAGTGGAAAGTGTGGAGTGTGGAGTGTGGTGTGTAAAGTGGGGAGTGTGGAGTGTAGAGTGAGGAGTGTAAAGTGTAAAGTGTAACGTGTGGAGTGTAGAGTGTAAAGTGTAGAGTGTGGAGTGTAGAGTGTAAAGTGTAGAGTGCGGAGTGTAGAGTGTAAAGTGACGAGTGTAAAGTGTAGAGTGAGGAGTGTAAAGTGTGGAGTGAGGAGTGTAAAGTGTGGAGAGTGGAAGTGTCAAGCGTGGAGTGTAAAGTAAAGTGTGTAGTGTAAAGTGTGGAGTGTGGAGTGTAAAGTGTAGAGTGTGGAGTGTGGAGTGTAAAGTGTAGAGTTAGGAGTGAGAAGTGGAAAGTGTAGAGTGTAGTGTAAAGTGTGGAGTGTGGAGTGTAAAGTGTAGAGTGTGGAGTGCGGAGCTTCCCCCATAGACACGGCGACGCCACAGGAAAACCAGAGACTCGAGACGAGACACGTGGGAGCACCAAAACGAGCATTTCGTACGAGACTTCCTCCAATTTTCACACTTTGCAGCTTCAAAATCGACGTTTGCGTACGAGTTTTCCTTAGAACCTGAAAATTTGCAACCTCAAAATCGATGTTTCGTGCGAGGCTTCCGTCAATTTTCAGCACATGTCACAAAATGCCATGCCTGCCACGGAATTTGCACCTTGTCGCCACTTGACGCAGCCCTGCCAATGCGATTTACAAAAAACACGCAACACGACACGTCGAAAGTGCTGCGCCTGCCACGAAAAATGACGATGGACACGTCCAAAGTGCTGCGCCTGCCACGAAAACTGCAACACATCTTCTGAAAACGTCAGCCTGCCACGCAAAACGACTTTCGACACGTTCCAAAACACGTCTGAATGTCACGAAGTGCCACGCCTGCCACGCGAAACGAAGCAACGACACGTCTGCAACCCCCAAAAAGGACCACCTCTGCAGAACTTCCCATAGGCACGGCCATACGGGGATCGCGCGGACGGTTGCGGACGGTTGCGGACGGTTGCGCTCGTGAGCGCAACGTCGAGCGAACACACCCTCAACCCCCAGACCCCCAGAGTGAAACGGGAACCCTTGCTACGCATTCGGGAAAAAAGACCGAGTAACTAGACTATAACCCAACAACATGGTTTCTCCGTGTCTTCTTTGTTGCGTTGTAGCAATCTTCCCCTTTCATCCCACTTCTTGTTTCCCCAAAGACCCCTGCGGCAGGTGGTGGAGGATTCGAGTCAGGCCTACCAGGAGTTGGTCAAGTTGAAACAGGCGCGGGAAGAACATTTGTGGCGAAAAAGTTGACCGATCTTAGCTAGTTGTTGGATCATGGTACAGTTAGCTTTCAAACTGGGTTTGATATTTTGAATCTATCTTGGATTCAAGTCGAATGATCTCAGCTTGAGTAGATGGTAACTGCAGGCGACTACCACAAAGACTCTATTGGGAAAGTTACTGGTCCAATCAGTGGCTTTGCAAAGCTGCATATGATCTCATGTACAGCATGCTACTTTTTAGGTGAGATTGGAAGTGTTGCAGTACGCATTCCATTTTCTGAGACAATTTCTTAATTTCTTCCATTTGTGTCTATTGCAGACAATCCTTTTTGAATAAGCAAGAGGGATCACATTTATCATGGCAGTACGAGATAGGCTTGTTGCTTCATAAGCCAACTGTAGATGGATTTGCCGTAAGCCCCTTCATAAGCCTAAGAAACCAACTTACCTCTTAAGCACGGGGGCAGCTTCCTGCACCATGTGCCAGCTTTGCCGATCAAAGTAGCTGGGATATCTGGGACCGATCATGGCAGTTGAGGCTTTGGTGTTTTGGGTTGAGAATTCTATGGCGATCAGAACAATTTTGAAACCACAGGCATTGGTCTTTTGAAACCACACGTAACTGCGAGTTCTTCGGTGCCCAATTGTGGCTTGTAGTTTCCTCAGTTTCCTCCAGTGGCTGGACGCCAAGGCGGAGCAACTGGAGTTTTTGCCCATCTTTTACTGGGCAGCGCTTTCATCCCTCACCCCACAGCAAGTGCGCTGGGTTGGGATGGGGATATGCAAGCTTGAATTGGGTGTATGTTTTTGAAAAAGAAATGATGAGTGTAAATGAGTGATCTATTTCGAGCTCTATATCCAGTTGGTCAATTTTGTCTTCTTCATTGAGTTTTTGTTCCCCCTTTTAAATTTTTAAACTGTCAAAGCGGGTTTGTCTAGCATTGGGTTTGCCACATTGTATATTCCGATTCTATTACTAATCTCAGCTATTCTCAAATCAGGAAATTCAATTTTGGAATATCAAAGAATATTGGCCATGATTAACTTGACCATAGGCCATGAAGAGAAACACACATCCACATTGATCCTTGATCCAGTTCCAATTAGCAGCCGTAGCACTTCAAGTTACAGCGCGTCTCAATAGGCTATGCAAGTCATGTAGATGTATAATGTGGTAAACCCGATGATAAATTCAGTTTTTAGGATTTATAAAACCAATTTCTGGTGATATCGGGGATGGTTTATTGTCGGGTTTGCCATGGTTTACCACATTATATAATTATATATACATATATATATATATTTTTTTCTTTTTGTATTCAAGTTCATTGAATGTTCCCAAGTGGGTTTAAAGTGACATCATTACATTATATCATTACATTACATCATAAAGTTCTTGAAGCGGCCAACGATTGCAGAAACAATGATGTTAGGTATGGAGATTACATCACTATCTACGGTACATTACCTGTAATGATATATCGATGGATTGATGGTTTCAATAAACCAGCCATACTGATCTACATAAATGGTATATTGACGAGATATTGATGATATACGATATATAAGATACATTAATACCTATAATGTCAGTAAAGCAATAATAAACCAGCTATATTGATTGATGGTTTCAATCCCACCATAAATATGGTGAATCTGGGGATGGTGGATCCTATTTCTTTACATCCACATTACTTTTCATCCATGACATCCCATTAAATCACCATTAAGTCCCAGTAAATCACCATTAAATCCCATTAAATCACCATGAAATCCCATTAAATCACTGTTAAGTCATTATTAAATCGCATTAAATCTCCATCAAATCCCACTAAGTCTCCATTAAATCACCATGAACTCATTTTAAACCCCCAGCAAATCACAATTAAATCCCATGAAATCAGTAAATCCCATTAAATCACTATGAACTCCCAGTAAATCACAACTAAATTCCATCCCAATAAATCATCATTCTCTAAATCCCATGAAATTATCATTGTATTCAAGGAAATCAATATTAAATCTAGTAAATAACAATTAAATACCATTAAATCACCATTACATCCCATTAACTCACCTTTAAATACCGTTAAATCACGATTAAATCCCAGCAAATCACCCTTAAATCCGATTAAATCACCATTAAATCCCATTAAATCACCATTAATCGCATTAAATCACTATTAAATAGCAGTTAATCACCATTAACTACCATTAAATCACAATTTGATCCCATTAAATACCAGTATATATATATAGATCATCATCAAATCCTATTAAATTAGAATTAAAGCAAATGAAATCACTATTAAATCCCATTAAATCACCGTTAAATCATCATTAAATCGCACTAAATCTCCATCAACTCCAACTAAATCTCCATTAAATCACCATAAAAACCAATCAAATCACAATTAAATACGATTAAATCTCCATCATTTTTCCATTAAATAAATTACTATTACGTTCCATTAAGTCACCATTAAAGCCAATTAATTCACTATTAACTCCCTTTAAATTACCATTAAATCCCATTAAATCTCCATCAAATCCCATTCAATCTCCATTAAATCACCATTAAATGTCCATCAAAAGTCATTAAATCTCCACTGAATCACCATTATATGATCATTGAACAAAATTAAACTCTCTATAAATTCCTAGTAAATCAAAATTAAATCCAAGTAAAGCAATATTTACATCCCATTAAGTTCCAGTAAATCACTATGAAACCACTTAAATATCATTAAACCTCCATTAAACATTAAATCCCAGTATATAAATCACCATTCAATCCGCGTTGAATCACTATTGAATCCCATTAAATCGCCAATCATCATGAGATCCCAGTAGATCAGCATTAAATCAGCACTTTCATGTGGGTTTCTATACCTCAACATTCATGTTACTGACCACTGTTGACCACAGCAGGTGGCCAGTGCCTGCGTCCCCTGGCGTGCTGTGCCCAAGGAGACTCAGGCCAAATGGGAGAAACCACGAGAAAATAGGGGAAAAACCATGAGATTTTTCATGGGAATGTACACAGGATGGGGCCCCCAGTCGATAGCGGCAGCGTTCAATTGCCTGAAAAAAGTGGTTGAATTAACTCTGGTTTATGGTGGATATAACGAACTAGATAACTATAGTTTTCATGGTGTTTATAAATCAACTTATAACTGGAGGGCCCCATCCTGCAGGGACTTGCCAATTTTTGAAGGAGAAATCTCGGGGCAGCTTCGCTTCCAAGTTTTGCCCCTCAAGACGAGCATAGTGAAGCCACATGTGTAGATCATGTTTTTGTAATAAATTCTACTTACAGAAAATAAATCATAAGAATTGACACAAAGAAGAGGTTTGCCTGCAATCATTGAAGCTGACTTCACAGCAGATTTTCTTTTTTTGACCTATAATTACAAAGTTTCTCTGGGTATGAAGTCATATTCAAAGATAAAATCCCAGGTTAATTCTACCTTTCTACCTGCCCAAACAGTCTTCTTAACCATAACTTGGACCTTTGCTAAAACTTTAGACAACAAATAGTATTCCAGACATAAATGCCACCCGCAAAGCTAAAGCTATATTAGGTTCTTGTCATCCGCTACTTCACACCCAGCACCTCTGCTGCACGCGGATTCTTCATGAGACAACGAAAAGGAACACGCCAATTTTTTCATGGGAAGTCGTGGAAGATATCTACAATTGTGGTAGATGAGGGATTTGCCGGAGAGCAATGGTGGTCTTCGAGTTTGAACATTGTTGTAATAGTAACCCATTATTAATTAATAAACCCCTAGTTTACCAATAGGGGGTTACTATATAATCCAAATGATCATTTATCACTATTATTGGGATTGGCACCCTCAAGTAGTCCGGGCTTATTACTCTGAGGTTGACATTAAGCCCCAAAAAGATAGAAGTTAGTTTTTTTGGTTCCAATCCTGAGTCATAGTGATGAATTCAACCTTTTTGTTGACTCGGGAATGACCATATTTATATATATATATATATTATGGTTTTTCTTGGAGCCAATCCGTTTCCGGGATTGCCAGGTGCAAGCTTTGCAGCTTCACATGGAAGACACGTCAGCACCCTCTGACAGTCGGGTCCCATATTACCAGTGTCATCAAACGTGGCGGGAGAATCATCGAACTATTGCTGGTGGGTTTTCCAGCAAGCCACGCTTACGGGAGGAGGTTTTCTATCTAATTAACTACATATAACTATCATTGACTATATATATATATGTATCTTTTTTGTGTAATGATTAAAACCTGGGTGAACTGATCATACTGGGGATTTTTGATGACAATCCATAGTTATTTATGTCGACTGAAATCCTATGGCCATGGCATGCCATGGCCATCATGATATCATGATGGGATGACTCGTTGATACTGTACCATGTTTGGGTTGGTCCACCCGACGAAGGCTCTGTGCTTTTTGGCTCTGCAGGTGGTGTTGCTAAAAAAGGGGCGGGAAAAACTGGGGTTTACGGTTTTGCTTACGGCTTGTCTCAAATTTTGCTTACGCCATAATCCTACGATCATTACTTTCCCCGTTTTGAGACAAAGCCGTAAGGGTAAATCGGTAAATCTCTTCAACAAAGAAGTGTTGGCGCCAGCCCACTGTGGAAAAACACCCCGAAATCAGCCGATGCGACCCCTTCGGATGTTTCATCTTAGGAAGTTCCTTGAGGTTTTGCATGGCACTGTTGGGTATGTGTCTAGAAATTTGAAACTGAAGAACTAGCACTGTCTGCCACTGTCTTCCAAATAACTCTGACCGTCTGGGGTTGAACTCTTCTGACAGCAATCCACTCTGTGAGTCATGGAGTGGCTCGCCTCAAAGAAAGCAGTGGTTGTCCCTGGTGTGATGAAAGGCCAGGCTTTCTTTTGGCTGCTGGGTTTTGCTGTCCTCCAAAATCTCGAAGTTTTAGCTGCCCTCCTGGCTTTCGTTGGGTTGTCCTTCTTAACTGTTTCCTAGGGGATCCTGAAATCATCTGAAATCCAATTTTTACAATAGTGGTTTGGTGCACCCAAAGTTTTGGGGGAAGCAGGTGGCACGTGCTCCTTGCGAGCCCAACTTCAAGCACTAGAGCAGCCGCTGAGATTGTCATTGCCGCATCAGGCCGATGGGTAAATGGGTGAACATCCATCTCACTACCAGCTATTTTGGTGTCGTTAAAGCAGGGTACCAGGCACCAGGGTTTGGCGTTTTCACAAACTCTGTCTGCAGAGCTTGGCTCATCAGTTTCTATGGAATCTATGGATCACCCTGGCCAGTTTTATTTTGTAGGACTCCTTGAGTTGACGGGCCGTCCGCAAAAATTCTCCATCTGAGAGGCCTTGTTCCAACGCCCGAAACTTTTTGCAACCCTGATTTTTTCTTGATGTCTTTTGCATCATTTCCAGGCATGTCTTGTGAGACTTTTCCACTCTTCATGCTGAAATCCCTCCAATTTTCATGCTTCAATCACCTTTAAATCACCTTGAATCCTCGATTTTTATGGTGAAATCGGTGAAATGAACCACTTTTGAACCAATTTTAGCACCAGCTTTCGGCCATGGCACGTCATCTCTTGGGGCGTCTGCTGTCGCGGACTGCCCCGGCCCTGGCGGTGGTGGAAAGCTGGCGAAGAACCAAGAAGCCGCAGAGCAGGTTGAACCCGGCCTCAACGGTTTAACAACCATTTGGATCATGGTCGGTATATGTCAACAGCTATGAAAATTGCAAATCTATATATATATATATATCTACTGTATATAATTCCATATATCTATATGTACACACACATATCTAAGTATACATATATATACACATAATGTGAATTTCCCAACGAACCCTGTCGTTGTGTGTTTCCATTCACTTGTGATGAATTCTCATCAAAACCTTGCTGAATATATTCCAACCAGGAATCCCTATCCAAACCAGCCGAGAGGGGAACAAACCATGTTTCGTGTGCCTTAGTGTTTTAGGCTTGAGGACAAGCCGTGGTGGGCGAGGTAGGGATCCAAAGCACTTGCAGCCATTCGATCGCGGTCGATCCTTTAAGCTGTGGCCAGCTTGTTGAACGTGGTATCATAGGCTTTGGAAGCCTTGCTTGCTAGGCAGCCGGTTCGAAGGACTCTCAACCTTTTGTGGCAATCACCAGGTGAAAAGCTGCTATCTTGGGAGTGAGGGATTTGGTGCTGCCAGTGTGATACCACTCACACTGGTAGCGGAGCTACCTACGTTTTGTTGCTCCAGGGGATACATCATCTTTGGAGGTCACCATGGCGCAACCAAATGGTGACCCATCAGAGGGAACTGCAACCATCTCCAACCAGATGGCCCAACTTGTGCCAAGCTTTGATCCGTCGAAGGACGACCTGGAACAGTACAAGCAGAAAGTCGAATTGTTGAGCGAGATCTGGCCCGAGAACAAGGTCAATGAATTAATCACCAGGTTAATTCTCAATACAACCGGCTCTGCTTTCCAGAAACTTCAATTGAATCGTGCCAAGTTAATCACAGGTGACAAGGCAGGGATTGAACTGTTGATATCATTGCTTGGAGGACAATGGGGCAAAGTAAGTCTGGAAAAAACATATGAGATCGTGGAGAAGGCGTTGTTCAAGTGCGTCCAGAGACAGGACGAATCGAACGATTCTTTCCTGGCTAGGTGTGATGTGGTTTGGTCTGAACTCAAGGCCAAGAAAATAGATTTGGATCAGGTGCATGCGTACATAGTGCTTCGAGGATCTCTTTTGACAACGGAGGACAAGAAACGTGTGATCCTGGAAAGTGAATCTTCCACTCAGGGAGCTTTGACAATTGACAAAGTTGGCCAGTCTGTCAGGATGCTTGGAACAGCCTTTTTCAATGAGATGATCGGTCAAAAGAAATCAAAAGGGAAGATCTACGATCAACAAACGTTTTTGACTGAAGATGTACAAGATGAGGGTCATGAATCTCATGTGTATGTTGCGGATGAAATCGGGGAAGAAGAGTACTATGAACAGTTGCTTTTGGACGAAGACGAGGACGCTCTGCTGATTGCAGACTATGAGTCAGCAGCTGCAGACACACTGCAGTCAGACGAAGATCTGGCCAGCGCATACAATGCGTACAGTGACGCGCGCAAGCGCTTGTCCGATCGTTTCAAGAACCGTGGGTTTTGGCCTGTGAGCTCTGGGAAGGGTAAGTCCAAAACTCATGGATCCAAAGGCGAAGGGAAGAGTTACGGCCGTGGTCCCCGGAAAAGTTTGCAGCAAAGAATCATGGAGAGTACATGCAGGCACTGTGGAAAGAGAGGTCATTGGCGCGCAGAGTGCCCAGAACGCCGAAATGCCTCAGCCAGTAGTGCAGCCAGCACGGCAGTCACCATGACAGCCGAAGCAGTTTCCCTCGAGGGTGAGCCCGATGCTTTGCCGATGGAGTTCATCCAATTGCCCGTGGTTCCAGACGTTACCATAGATGATCCTAGTTTGCATTTAATTAATGTCAGCATGGCCATTCCAAATGAGCTTCGGGAACGTCTCAAGCACAAGGGGTCTTGGGATAACAATAGGGGTAAGAACCTGAAAAGCCATCCTCCCAGGAATGAAGCCTCCTGCCATTTGCCGATGAGAGCCAGTGATCAGCCGAAGATCCGTGAGCCTGATTTTGCACTTTTTGCGTCACATGGAACGTCAGGCATCTTAGACACAGGTGCTACGAAGTCTTTGATTGGCAGCAAGCTGTTGCCATCGTTTCTTGAGGGTCTGCCCAAGGAAGTTCGAAGTCAACTGTCCAGGACATCGTGTGACATCACTTTCAGGTTTGGCAATCAGGGAACTTTAGACAGCAGTCAAGCGTTGGTAATTCCCCTCAAATCAATTGGATTGGGATTAAAAATAGCCGTAGTGCCTGGGGAAACACCATTGTTGTTGTCAAATACTTTGTTGAGAACCCTCAAGGCCAGCATCAACAGCGAGTGTCAGGTACTGTCCAGCCCCATGTTCAAACATGATGTTCATTTGCAACTGAGTGCTCGTGGTTTGTATTTGTTGGATGTGAATGAGCTGCTGAAAGCACAGAAGGGGCCCAGTGACAGGACAAGCCTGACCGTTGCAGAAACGTTCACCAGCCATGATTTTTCCGAGTGCAAAAGTGAGGAGAGCCACCAAACTCACCAAACAACTGCCAATTCCAGTGAAAGCAACCGTAGCCTTGCCACATGCCATGACATGAAATCAGAGCTTCAATCACATGAGAACGATTCACACCACACAGGCAATCGTGCCCAGAAGTTTTGCAAAGCACCTGAACAATCAAACCAACAGAAAGAGATTTTTCAGAGCCACCGTGAGTCCAGCCGTCAGCTGAAACATGAATGCACAGAGACCTCCTGGCCCAAAAGCCCACATCCGACCTTTTTAGATCTTGTGAAATCGACCAACTCATCAAGTCGCAATGAGTTTGAGCAGCCGTTTCGATCGAATCATGGCCAAGGCGTCCGACGACACCCTGGAACAGTTTCAACAGCTGACAACTCAGGAGATGGGAGAAGCCAAGATCACGTTTGGAAAAGCCCACATGGGGCGAACCTATATGGAAATGTGGTTGGAGGAGCCAAATTGGGTCAAGTGGTTCATCAGGACCTACTCAGACAGCCAGAAGATAGAACATCGAAAGTTCCTGATGTTTTCCGAGAAGATGATCTCAGCTCACGAACAGGAGCACCACCTGCCACCGATGGAATCCATGACGCAGGGAGTTGTCCTGCCACGCTGCAAGGGACAACCAAAAGCCAAGGCATCAGCCTCAGTGGCTCCCTTCATGTCCATGGAGACCAGCTCCAACATCGGGACCGAACAGTGGGATGTGATGGATCCAGAAGACCTTCTGATCCACAATGCGAGGGGACTCCAAGAAGATCATCACCAGGAGAGCATCGAAGCCCTGCAAGCCAGAATGATGCACGTGGAGAATGCCTTGGTGGAGATCTTGCAGCACGTCCGACCGTCCAACAACTGAGAGATGGCAGGGATTGCGCATGCTTGGCAGGAGACATTGATAACGATTTTGAAGAGTCAATTTTCAACACCACCTCTAACAATAATCGTCATCAAATCTTCCATCAACTTGTAACTCAAATGACAAAAGAATTTCATGAAGTCTCCAGACAAGTAGACAGCCGATCAGCAAAGCCAATTCAGGTGCTCGAGGTCTTTTGCAGCTCAACAAGTGAACTGACCAAGCAAACGAATCAGTTGGGGTATCGAGCCTGCAGGTATGGATATGAACAAGGTGATCTTTCCACAAAAGAGGGCAGAGCAGGTTTGTTCAAAACTGTTGTTCAACAGAGACCTAATCACATATGGTACAGTCCAACATGTGGACCCTGGAGTTCCTGGAGTCAGTTCAACGAGATGAGAAGCACCGAAAGCTTTGTCGAAGTGCAACGAAAGAGGGAAGAAAATCTCTTCCAACTGGCCCTGGGACTGGTCCTTTTCCGTGTACAGCAGAATGCAGGTCGACACATGCACTGGGAACAACCGGCCAGATCCATCATGATGCGCACCCCAATGTTGTGGGAGATCATTCAAAATACTCAGGTTGCCAAATTCGACATGTGTAGAGTAGGTGCCCTCCGAGACCCCATGAATCAACTGCTGTATAGAAAGGGGTTGGAAATTCACACCACTTCAAGAGAATTTTTCTTTCACTTCAATGGATTAACGTGCAACAAGCAACATCAACATCAGCCACTTGAAGGGGAGACCACAGTAAGGGGAATGAGAATCAAGAGAACTGAATTTTCTGAAAACTACAGTCGAAAATTTGCCCGAAAGATTGCACAGGTTTTGACAAAAGTCAAATGTCAGCGTAGCAAGCCCATGGGAATCTCTGAAGCTTTTGCAACCGATGCCAAAAGAGCCACCAGTGCATCCCTGGCACCTGCGACTAAGCGAGCGAAACTGACACCTGTCAGTCCACTGATTGAACCCAGTGAGATGCCGGCAAAGAAGCGTCGCCTCCATGAGAAGACCACCGACAATGTAGGTACCCTTTGCATCCAACTTTGCGAGAAGATATCCAGCCTAGCTCCTCGGGTAGGTAGGAAAGAGATCAGTGACCCCACCATTCTTGCAGGACTTCAAGAAGTTTTCCATGATAAACAAATAGTCCGGGTTGTGATTTGCAAAGGGACGGAGAGAACCATCACTCCCCCAAAGAACATGATGCCAGCAGAAGCCCCTTTTCGCAGAGCAATCATCATTCAAAGACAAACCAAAGCAATCAAAGTAGAAGGACAATGGGAGGAATGGCGTCACTTGTCAGCCAGACAGCTGTGGCGACGGTCACATCCGTCCTTTTTGAATATAACAGTGTTCGCTCGAAATCCACCCGAGATTTCACCACCTGCCAGCGAGAGTCAAAGACCAAGTAGCCATGAAGTATCGGAACCCAGTGGTGCAGCCCAATCTCCAGCACCGGATGTGCCAGCCAGTGAACCTTCAAGCGCACCAGCCCTTGATAGTCAGCTGCAGCCACAGAGTGTCGAAACACCCGAAAGCACCAAGGAACCGAGTCAGATAGATTTCGAAAGCAAGGACCATGGTCCCAAGTTCATGATCATGTCACCAGAAAACAAGAAACTTGCCATTCGACTTCATAAAAACTTGGGTCACCCAGATCCCACCAAGTTGAGTAAAGTACTACAACAAAGGGGCTACTCTGAGGACTTGGTGCGAGGAGTGTTAGACCTCAAATGTTCCATATGCCAAATGCAGCAGCAACCGAAACTCCAGCGTCCTGCGACACTTAAGGAAGAACTGAATTTTGGTGATAAGATATCAATGGATGGGGTAAAATGGAGTAACAAACAGGGCCAAGACTTCCATTTTTACCATTTCATTTGTCATGGTACCAACTATCACACCGCAGTAGTGGCACCAAATCGATCAGAAGTCCAGGAAAGATTCACCACCGGATGGCTCAATTGGGCTGGTCCTCCCAACTCAGTCATCATGGATTCAGCATCCGAATTTGTGTCGCAAGCGTTTGAAGAGTTCCTTCAAAGCCTGAATGTGCAATGCACCGTGGTCCCTCCAGATGCCCACTGGCAGATGGGTCGTATTGAGCGACACGGTGGCGTTCTCCAATCAATGTTAAGCAAGTATGAGTTGGAACATGATGTCACTGACTATTTCCAATTCCAACAAGCACTTACACATTGTACCATGGCAAAGAATGCATGTAGCTTGAGACATGGATACTCACCAGAGACCCTTGTTTTCGGCCGTGGTTTGAGAGTTCCAGGTTCCATTGTTGGAGACGACACTTTGCCAGCTCATGCCATCGCAACCAACGATGACAGCCAGGGCATTAGGTTTAGGAAAGTGCTTGCAATGCGAGAGACTGCACGGAGGGCATTTCATGCAGCTGACAATGACATGGCGATCCGTCGAGCAGCACTAAGACGAGATCGTCCCCATAGAGGAGCCTATGAACCTGGAGAATGGGTCATGGTATGGAAATCCCACCTAAATAAAGGTTCATGGGTTGGTCCTGCAAAGGTGATAATCCAAGACGGTCCCACGTCAGTGTTTTGCAACAATGCAGGATCCGTGATGCGAGCCGCTCCAGAACACATACGCCCAGTCAGTGCAGTAGAAGCAAGACTCATTCCCATAACTGAAAATCCCTTGTCAATGCTGAGAGCTTCACCAGTACCACCACATGCCCAGGTTCCCAGTAATCCATCAAATCAAATTCCCAATGCAAGCACAGCCAATCAAACAGCCGCAGAAGTGTTGGTGCCACCAGAAAATGCTAGACCAGCAAGCTCAGGAACGTCCGAACAGCCTGACCAAGAGCCTGATGAAAACTCTCAGGGTAACCTCACCATCAAAAATGAGAATATATCCGTTGAGAATAGTCCCAATAACAGTGAACCACGCAACGTTCAAATAAACAATCCTGAAGGTGAAAATCAATCCCAACTAGAACCCAATGAAATACCACTTCCAGATGCCACTGATGATGAACTTTTGTGTGATCTCTTGACTTGCACTGACAGCGATGCTTCCGAAACCTTTGCGCCAGACGGCAAAGACCATGTCTGGAAAGCAGAACTCGAATTCACCCAAGCTCAGTTGGATGAGATGTGCGTTTTCCAGGAAAATCCATGCGAAGAAGATTTCCTCATGTTGGCAACAGCCTCCAAGAAACAACGTACTGAGGTCAAATTGAGCACTCTAGATCCTCATGAGCGCCAAGAATTCGAGGCCGCAAAGGCCAAAGAGGTGAACAACTGGCTTCAGACTGGGACGGTGGAAAGGATGTTCCGGAATGCCTTATCACCTGAACAAATCCTTAGGTGCCGATGGCTGTATGTGTGGAAACCCATAGAATGTCCTAAAGAACAAAAAGAAAACGGGGGGCGTAGTCGCAAGGCAAAAGCTCGCCTGGTGGTTTTAGGATACCTAGATCCACAACTGGAGACAATTCCTAGAGACAGCCCAACACTTGGGAGAACCTCAAAGATGCTGATAGCCCAAGTGATTGCCTCCATGAGATGGACACTCATGTCGTTTGACATTAAAGCAGCGTTTCTTCAAGGCCGCACCCAAGAAGGAAGGGAAATAGCAATAGAGCCAGTCCCAGAAATGGTGAAAGCCATGGACCTGAAGTCCTCAGAGGTCTGTAAGCTCATTAAATTAGCATATGGTTTAATAGATGCCCCATTTTTGTGGTTCACAGAGCTCAACAACACTTTACGCAGTTTGAACTTCATACCATCCCCATTTGATCCCTGTCTTTATTTACTCTTCAAACCAGGAGCAAAAGAGCCATCGGGTATCCTTGGGGTTCATGTAGATGATGGTCTCTGCGGAGGTGACAGTTATTTCCAGTCTCAGGTGAAAGCCCTTGAGGCAAAATTTCCTTTCGGATCCCGCAAATCCCAAAGCTTTGTGTTCACAGGAATCGAAATGAGCCAACAAAATGACTCAAGCATTGTCATGTCACAAGAGAAATATGTTTCCAAAATTGAACCAATCCACATCAAACCAGAAAGAAAATCACAACTTGAAATTCCCGTCACCGAACGAGAGAGACAAGATCTCCGTGCACTTATCGGATCACTTCAGTATGCCGCAGTAAACACGAGACCTGACTTGTCAAGCAGATTAAGTTTCATCCAAAGTGACATCAACCAAGCGACGATTGCAACACTCATACAAGGAAATCAGATACTTCATGAAGCCAAAAGACACAAAGACACCTCCGTTCGCATACAACCCATTCCTATGGACAAAATCCGGTTTTTGGCATTTTCAGATGCATCATTCGCTTCCAAGAAACAGCCAGAATCACACACAGGTACCATTATCATGACAACTCACGAAGACATCGGAAAGAATCATGTATGCCCGGTGAACCCAATCAGCTGGGGATGCAAGAAAATTCAACGAGTAGTGACGAGCACTCTGGCAGCAGAGACCACTTCCCTTTCAACCACCCTTGACCAACTGTCGTGGTTGAGATTGTTTTGGAGCTGGATACGAAACCCATGCACTGATTGGAAAAATCCATCAAAGACCCTCAAAGAATTACCATCAACATTCACCACTGCAACATTCAAAGAAGATCCATCAATTGCGGTAACCGATTGTAAATCCTTGTTTGATTTAATCACACGAACAGCTCCACCACAGTGCCAAGAGTTCAGAACCCAGTTACAAGCAAGAGCAATCAAAGACATGATAGCTGAGGGAGTAAAGGTAAGATGGGTCCATAGTGCCGCACAACTTGCAGATGCTTTGACCAAAATCATGCAGACCCATTTCCTCCGACACACCTTGAAAGTAGGTCAATATAGCCTGCACGATGAAGGGCAAGTCTTGAAGGAACGTGCAACGAGCCGATCCCGCATGAAATGGTTGCAAACCTGCAATGATGAGAATCTTGAAAATAAGGAAGAAAAACATCTTTTGGGAGTGTGAATTTCCCAACGAACCCTGTCGTTGTGTGTTTCCATTCACTTGTGATGAATTCTCATCAAAACCTTGCTGAATATATTCCAACCAGGAATCCCTATCCAAACCAGCCGAGAGGGGAACAAACCATGTTTCGTGTGCCTTAGTGTTTTAGGCTTGAGGACAAGCCGTGGTGGGCGAGGTAGGGATCCAAAGCACTTGCAGCCATTCGATCGCGGTCGATCCTTTAAGCTGTGGCCAGCTTGTTGAACGTGGTATCATAGGCTTTGGAAGCCTTGCTTGCTAGGCAGCCGGTTCGAAGGACTCTCAACCTTTTGTGGCAATCACCAGGTGAAAAGCTGCTATCTTGGGAGTGAGGGATTTGGTGCTACCAGTGTGATACCACTCACAACATAATTGTATATATATATGTATACATATAATTATATATATATATACGAATCTCTACCTGGGTGAATTTTACAAAGACCTCATGATATCACCGATGTTGGTTAGTAAGGGAACTGTTCCCCCCAAAAGAAAACCTCTTGCAGGTTGGTGAAACAAAATAGTGCAGGCAGATAATGATGCTGTAACGTGGGATTTTTATAGCAAGAAACATGGAACACCATTTTGAATAAGGAAACATAACCACCTTCAGGCTGTGAAACGTTGAGTCAATTATTTCAGGGTTTTGCTCCAACTGTTTATGTTTATTGGAAACTACGATGTTAACCTTCGATTCTTAAAACCATTGATTTAGGGTTTATAGGAATTGCCTAATGGAGCCCCCAGAAACCTGAATCAATTCCCAGGGAAACCCCACGAACATGGGTAGATACTTCGCCACAAGCCATCCCTGTGCGTTTTTTGGGTAGAGTGCCATTTCCCTTCATTAACTCCCTTAACGTTTTTTGCAGGTTTTACATACCCAAGACGTGGTGATTTGTTTTGTTGGTTACATACAGCATATCTGGTGAGACAAGAATATGCAGCAGTGGAAAAGTATGGAAAAGTCGGATCCCTGGACGAAAAGTGTCGCAACAGCCGCAGGTGTGAGGATGGTGACCCCGTTGTGGTGCTGGGTGGAGGGGTCATGGGCCTCTCAACGGCGTGGAGTTTGGCTCGCAGTGGCGTCAAGGTCACGCGACAAGTCGTGGGTCAGTTGGGTGGTCGTCAGTTGATAGGTGAAAGTGGGCCGATTTCCAGAATTTGATGAATTCTATAATAAGTATATATGATAATTGGATGAGATAGGTCTGGTCTCAATTAGATATAATTATATATAAATATATTCCTATAGAATGATTACGATCAACTCCCTCCCACCATTTGCCTCGCTTCTGGAAGAGTTCGACGGGATCATCATCATCATCATCATCAACATCAGCATCAGCATCAACAACAACAATATCATTGGTATGATCATCGTCGTCTTCTAACAGAATAGTGGAAATCGGTTCAAAATGCACTGTTCCAGCACTTTTGGTTGCACTAACAGTTCAAACAGAATCCTAAAAAACCGTTGCAAAATGCGCAGTTGCAGCAATCTTGTTAGAACGAACAGCTCGAACAGAATCCCAGCAAATTGCTGCAAAAAGCACCCACCCCACCGCACCCCACCTTAAACCATGATAATTGGATCATCTTGGGCGCAGCATCAACATCTTGCGCAAGGTGGTATGAGCGCTATCATCGCCCCATCCCACCCCACCCCACTGATGCAGCGTCAAAGTCTTGTGCAAAGTCGGGTGAAGGTTAGCATGCCCCCACCCCACCCCACCCAATGTGAGCGTAGCATCAACATCTTGTGCAAGGTCGTGGGAACGTGGTCGAGGGAACCTTAACATCCCCACCGTGGGTCCCCACCCCACCCCACCCCATGTGAGCGTAGCATCTCGTGCATGGAACGTTAACATCCCCACCCCACTCCATTCCACCCCACCCCATCCTACCCCATGTAAACTGTGGGGCAAATGGTGGGCGTTGCGAGTAGATTACCAGAAAGCCATTATAGACATAAGCAATATATGGAGAATCAGAAACTATCTCAGATTGGCCATGAGAGATGCTGGTTGTGTCCTTTGAACACTTTAGTGACTCCAGTGAATTTTTGCATCCAGTACTTTATCCAACATCCTATTATATATCTGCATTCGATCTATCATATGCTCCTTACATACGGATACGGGTGCGGACACGGACATGGATACGGATACGGATGGATGGATGGGTGGATGGATGGATCGATGGATGGATGAATGGATTGATGGATAAACATATAGATAGATGGATGGATGGAAGGAAGGATATACAGATAGATAGACAGATAGACAGATGGATAGATGGATACAGATCTGCACACACTTCCGACAAGACTATCGCTCGGGATTCTCTCTTCTGCCCCTTAAGTCACAATTGTGCTGGGTACAAGGCAATCTCGGGGCGATGGGTAAGCTGATTACAACTAGGTCAACTGGGAGGGGTGAATATATCTACAGTTGGATTTGTGAAACCAGAACAACTTACAGGGCCCAACTTGTAGGTGGTTGGTTTTCACGCTATCCACAAAATACACCAGAACTGCAGCCCCTTTTTTAGAGCAAGATGGGTGAACCGGTGAACCAACATCAATTTACTCCCAAAACCCACAACAAAATTCCTACGCTGAAGAGGTCACGTTGCTGGACGCTGGCCACGCCGAGAAGGGCTCCTGGGGCGAGTCGCGCATCGCGCGCGTGAGCTACGCGGACCCGATGCTCGTGCGCCTGGCGCGGCGGAGCTATGAACTCTACGATGCCTTGGCCAAAGAGAGCGGGGAAGAGCTGATGTGACCCGGCCTTGGCCAAGGCCAAGCTATGGAATGCTGATGGCTAAAGCAATCATATGATATTCAGACTGGGAAAATTTTGGAATTTTCATGGACTATATGTGGATTTGCAACCGAAAACATGATATTTGGGCTTGTCTGAGATTGGGGTATATCTCCCAGATGGGGAAAAGGACTACAATCTATTGGAATTAGGGTACCCAACTTTTAGAAAGAACCATGTGAGGTGTTGGATGGTTGGTTTTTCCTGGGATCTGTTGGATTTTAATTTAGGAATTCAATCAACTAGAATTGGTTCAATGCCCATTTTGATGATGGCTTATTTTTTTTATCGAATCTGATTGTTTTTGAGTAAGGAGTTACTGATGTGACTTGGGTTGATGTGTGGGATTGACGGATCATTTTGATAGTTCGGATCAGTTAGGATCAGTTAGGATCAGGGATTGGTTGGGGTTAGTTGGGATTAACTGGGATTAGTTGGGAGTCGTTGAAATTGGGATATGGTTGGGATAAGTTTGTATCGGATTCATCAAGGGTTTGGAGTTGGATGTTGGGATATTTGGCAAACGGCAAACCAACTAGAAATGGGTTTTGATACTCAACAAAAATTGAGAATTATTGATGTGTCCTAGCTAAGTCGGCATTTTTGCCGCTTGGATGGGACAAGATGGAGATTTAATTTGATTCCATCCAAGATGGGTGGCCGATTTCTGAGTTTTCAGCCGGGGAGCCCCAATTTTCAGCCGCCAGAATCCAGAAACATCCAACTGGATCTTCGGTGTGTTGGAGGAAATCTGGTCGCTAAACAGTTGGATTGTGCTTTCGCCTCGTGTCGCCCGGTACACCACAGGCTGCCTGGATGTGGGCTTCACACGAGAGAGCTTGGTGCCTTAGATTTGATAAACTTATCTCAGCCGGAACTTGGAACCGTTTGGATTTTTGGCAATTTTCAGTCGTAAAACATTCCGTTGTTGAGATACCCAATGACTTGACCTATCCATAGCAATGTGCACATGATTACATCATACCTAACTAGGGATAATTTTGATATATATATATATATATATGAATACCCATATTTCTAGACAAATAACATGTGTGTACCCAAAATCAGAAATTGTGAATTCCCAAATCAACACAAACTTAGGATTAAAAAGGTGAATAGGTTTGTTTCTTTTCCGCGTGGACCCCATCTCAGGATAGCTTGGCAGAGACCTACGAAGAGCTGGGACAAAGTTATGAACGTTTGACCCATCGTCAGGTCGCAGTGCTGGACATGTGCCATCAGGGATATGGCTACCCAACAGCGTGTTTTAAGCCATGACCATCCGGATTTAACTGACAGAAATTGGAATTTTACGAATAACAAGATCATGGGATATCCTGAAAATGTGGAAGGTATGAGGTTGATCAGGTTGATCCCTATGCTTTTCTCCGTTATTTTCATTCTTTTTGAAACTTCACCGTCCGATCTTTGGACATAATTACGGTACCATAGCCGCCAATACACCGATACCACGGATTGGAGCGACAAAAAAAAGGTCGCAGTTTTTCATCAAGGTTTCAATCAATCCCCAGGAACCCTGGTGGATGCGTTGGATTTGTTCATTTTGTGGGACCATGTTGGAACCCGCCAGTATTTTCTATGATCAGGGAAGGGATTACTTCATAGCTTTCAATTGGCTTCCCGTCCTCGAACTCTTCTGATCTCTGGGTTTGTCTCAAAATGGTCGCTCCAATTTCTTGCGGAGAAAATGAGGTTTCCAAAAAACATGGGATGAATGGGATGGTGACGTTTTGAATCAGGTTTCCAGGTTTCCAAAATCTCCAAGATGTAGGAAACACGGGAAACACGTTCGTCTTCAATGAGGTCCTGAGTTTTCACAAAAGTCAGACGATCCGATGACCTGGGGTTACCGGGTAACATGTCGCTGACGTGTCGCTGACATGAACTTTTCTGGGATTTGATTGGGATTTTTTTTGATTGGGATGAACTCATAAAAGATCATAAAAGCTCTTTATTATCTTTTGAAGTAGCCAGCATTGTGCCAGGTGGCTCAGCGTTGGCCCATGCTTCAGCTTTCCAAGGAGTATGTGGAGGCGGATTTCCTGCGATCACATGACTTTGATAGTGCGAATGTTTGCCCAGAGGATTCAAGATCACTTTTTGGTGTGTTTTTGGTCCTTTCTGAAAGATGATGTTTTTGGGTTGTGATCCCAACAGAATGGCCGTCAATGGGTCGAAACTCTACGAACTGTGTCAAGGATGGGGCAATTTTTCAAAGGTTCAGTTGCCAAGTCATTCGTCTCGTTGCAAAAAAGATGTTGCCGAACAAATGGTTACGGCTCAAACTCATAATCATGTTGGGATGGATAGAATGAACAATTAATGGATACATATTAGGACTAGGGATGACCAAGCTTATAGGTGAACTGGCATACAATTTTGGAGCCGAAATGATGGCGGCACCATGATGAAGATTCTGCAGTGAGACTTAGTGATCCAAGATGGGCACTAGATAATCATATCTATATCTATATCTATATCTATGTCTATACCTCTATCTATATCTATATCTATATCTCTATCTCTATCTCTATCTCTATCTCTATCTCTATCTCTATCTCTATCTCTATCTCTATCTCTATCTCTATCTATCTATCTATCTATCTATGTATATATGTATGTAATGTAATGTAATGTAATGTAATGTAATGTAACGTAACGCAATGTAATGTAATGCAATGGTATGGTATGGTATGGTATGTGTGTATGTGTATATATATATGTTAACCCCTGATGAGACTGAACCCTGGTTGATCAATTAATTGGGGAGGCACGACCTCGGGGTGAACGAAATCTGAGATGAATCCAGCAGCTACCCTGGGTATGTGCCGTATGTGTCGTATGTGTCAAGATCATTCAAGATCTACACCTTGAACAGGTGAATTGTTAGAAACTCCGATATTGATGATATTGGAATTGTTAGAATTAATCCACCTTAAACAGGTGAAGGTGGTATGGCGGGTATGGGTAAAAAGGCTATTGGTCAACATTTGCTGGATTTCATTTTGCCCGGAATTGTTTGGCACAATATAAATCCGTGTCCCCAACACTAAGTACCTCCCCAGAAACGTTGATCTAGTTGGGACGTTCATTTTGGGGTCTAATGTTGGGATGTTTTTCCCCAACAGCAAAGCTTTGCTATGGGGTCTTTAGCCCAGATTAGCTCTGGTGCGATCCGGTGCAGCTTCAACACCAGGTTCCGGGCAAGGTTCCGGAGGGTTCCGGAGGGTTCCGGTGCAGATACCTGGTGAGGTTCCGGGGGGTTTCGGTGCAGATATTTTGTGAGGTTGCGGAGGGTTCCGGTGCAGGTACTCGGTAAGGTTCCGGAAAGTTCGGGTGCAGATGCTTTGTGAAGTTCCAGAGGGTTCCGATGTTTTTTTTATTGCATAAGCATTTTTATTGGGCAGAAGCACTTGCACGCAGTATAAGATGCACTCATATACTTGTAGATTTACTTTTGCAGGAGGGGGGGGGGCAGGGCGCGGCATAAAAGAAGTCGAGGCATAAATGGTTAGACCAAGCACTGTGCACACCGAAACAAAATTTTGAAGGAATGAAACGGCAACATAAAGACAACAATCTTAACACACGCGGGCTTGCAGACGATTGACAAATAGACGGCCGACGAAAGTTGAAGAGTCATCTCGAACCATTAGGACATCGTGGGTTAAAACAGCAGAGACACGGGTGACAGCGACTCAGTAAACGATGTACGGGTAATACGATGCACGAAACCTTTTTCATGACTAAACGGTGGTTTTGCTTAGTGTCCCGTTTCTCTGTATTTCACACACTGACATTCAGATACTGATTGTGATGATTGTAAATGCAGACAACACATGTGATCAATGTGCTTTGGATGCGTTACAGCGCTTTAGAAAGACAGTTTTACCATGAACCAGACGTATGAGATTAATGATCAATACCAATCATTGCAAAAACTAGATCCGCAAAAGACGTTGGCAAACGAAAATTCGACGCATGCCCTGTTTGATCAAGCGCAGCGCGCGCCCAAACAAATGTATGACAAACAACATGGCAAGGCAAAGGGAACAATCTCAGGACAAGCCGGCGTGAACACCACTCGACTCAACACAACATGACCGACGAAACCTGCAGCGTATTATTGAACCATCACGACATTGTGGGCGACAAACTCGGGTAAACTGCATGGGTAGCAGGCGCAGAGACCAAGGATTCAACCATCACGCTGGTAAACTGCACGGGTGGCAGGCGCAGAGACCAGGGATAGGTACAGCTTTTCATGGGAATGTTGCATTTGCCCGTGCGCAACATTATACTAAATGGCGGTTTTGCTTAGTGTCCCGTTTCTCTGCATTTCACAGACTGACATTCAGATACCGATTGTGATGATTGTAAATGCAGACAGTACGTGTGAGATCAATGTCCTTTGGATGCGTTACAGCACTTTAGAAAGTCAGTTTTATCATGATCCCTTTGTTACACAGTTTGAGGTGTTTGAGATGTTTGTTCTGTGTCTTTGAGATGTTTGAGACGTTTGTTATGTGTTTTTGATGTGTCTTTTTGAGATGTTTGTGCAAAGCGGAAATTGGCGTCCAATTGCCAAAACTAGATCCGCAAAAGACGTTGGCAAACGAAAAAACCTGACAACGCTGAATTCGACGCATACCCTGTTTGATCAAGCGCAGCGTGCGCCCAAACAAATGCATGACAAACAACATGGCAAGGCAAAGGGAACAATCTCAGGACAAGCCGGCGTGAAAACCACTCAACACAACATGGCCGCAAAATCCTGAAGGGTCATATTGAAACATCACGACATTGTGGGCGCAAAGACAAGCAAGGACAATGGCGGGAAAGACTGATCCGCAAAACGTATCCGCAAACAGCAGCAAGTGACGACGCTGAATTTGACGCATAGTCAAAAACGGTTCAAGCACGCACAGCGCACACCAAAGCAACAGTATGAAGGACAACATGGCACAGAAAAGGGAGCAGTCCTAAGACGAGCCAGCCTGAAAACCACTACAGCAAAACGACGACCGCAAAGCCTGAAGTGATATATCGAACCATCACGATGGCATGGGTTTAAAGAAACGCGACGACAAAGGCGGCATGGACTTAATGAAGTGGCACTAAACGCAAAACCTGACTCGCGATCTGGTACTGCATGGGTGGCAGGTGCAAAGACCAAGGATCCAACCATCACTCTGGTAAACTGCACAGGTGACAGGCGCAGAGACCAGGAATCTGACAATCAATCCGCTTCACTGCACTGGTGGCAGGCGCACACACACACCAGCATTTTTAAAATTAACTTGGTAAACTGCACCGACGGCGGGCGCACAGACCAACAGTTTGACAATCAATTCGGTCAATTGCACGGGTGGCAGGCGCAGAGAACAAGGAGGCAACTTGATCCAACCATCACTCTCGTAAATTGCACGGGTGGCAGGCAGACCACGGATCCGACAATCAACCCGCTGAACTTCACCGGTGGCAGGCGCGGGCACCCACATTTTGAAAATCAACCTGGTAAACTGCCAGGTGGCAGGCGCAGCGCAGAGACCAAGGATCTAACCATCAGTCTGGTAAACTGCACAGGTGGCAGACGTAGAGCCCAGGGATCTGACAATCAATCCCTTGAACTCCACCGGTTGCAGGCGCAGACACCATCATTTTCAAAATCAACCTGGTCAACTGCAAGGTGGCAGGCGCAGAAACAAAAGTTTTGACAAGCGATCCCGTAAACTGCACGGGTGGCAGGCGCAGAGACCAGGGATCCGACAATCAATCCGCTTAACTGCACCGATGCAGGCGCACAGACCAGGGATAGGTACAGCTTTTCAAAGGAATGTTTCATATACCCGTGTGCAACATCATTGCATGATTGTATGTGTTTGCTTGTATGTGTATGATTGTTGTGTATGTTTGTATCTGTATGGTTGTATGTGTATGATTGTATGACAATGTGCGCATGATGTCATGATGACGAACACAAGGTCATATACAGTTAGTAACAGCGTGTCATCCAACATGATTGCGTTTGTATCAATTCATGTTGGTTGAGATATTTGGTGAGGTTCCGGACGGTTCCGAGAGGGCCGGTATGGCCTAGTGGATAAGACGCATCCCTCATGCGTCAGACCCGGGTTCAATACCCGGGTGCAACACTAGGCGGACAGGCGGGCCACTACCCCACCCCTGTAGTTAAGGGGATGAGCTAGGGTGTGGTCCGTAAAAATTCTTTCCGGACGGTTCCGATGCAGATACCTTGTTAGGTTCCGGAGGTTTCCGCTGCAGATACCTGTTGGGGTTCTGCAGGGTTCCGGTGCAGATACCTGTTGAGGTTCCAGGCCCTGGTTCCTTTACCATTGTGCAGCACCATTGCAAGCTTGTATGTGTATGATTGTATGACAATGTGCGCATGATGTCATCGTGAAAATCACATGACTACTAGAGTAGTAACAACGTGCAATTCAACATGACTGATGTGAAAAAAATGAAACGAAACATAAACTTTCAAACTGTTAGGGATAGCACGTGAGTTTGTTTTGGTTGGGAGCAGGAATATTCACTGGCGATATTTCTTTTTGGCCACAAAATCAGAACCTACGATGGATGGACGAAATCCTGCACCAGTTGATAGATGGTTTATCCCATTATTTATAGGGGTAGGATTTCTTCCAGCCACAGTATGATAGTACTGGGCCAAGACGTGATTGACTGAACGATTTCATTTTCTTTATAATCATTGAAGTGAATGATCACTGGAGATTGACAAACGAATCCAAACAACCCACGAGGTAACCACCTTTCACACCAATTAACCACCAATTGGCCAGCAGTTAGTCAGTGGTCAACCATTGATTGAAATAAACATCTAGTCAACTGAAAGTAGAAATCGGTAGTCAACCACGGTCATTGTCAGTTAGCCATTGGTTGAAGTAGTTGGTCAAATGTGGGAAAACCAATACAAAACCTACCATTTGGGGATGGTCTATGCCATCCTCCAGGCTTCGGTGTTCTGCCCCAATGGTGATGCAGTGCTGGCCAGTGTGGTGTTGGAAACGTTGAAGGACAGGTGAAGGTGAACATTCAAAAAGGATGAGGAGGAGTCCTTAGTGTCCTAAATAACATTTTTTTGGGTTTGAAGATGATGCAACCAATCATAACAGGGTTCTTGTTGGGGATTCCAAAAAAAAAACAAATTGAGAGTTGAGGAACTTGTTAAAAAAAATGTTGAAAAATATTGGATGGTGGAAACATGTTGAAGACAAAATCTTGTTGTTTTTCCCTCACTATTTTGGTTATTGTTGGTAAAATATCATGTCAAATCCGAGAAATTTGCCAAGGTTTGTTGTGAACATTTTCTCCCCCCAACAACTTGACCAAGCGCCCCAGGAACAGCTGATTCGCTTGGCGTTGGCTCAGTACATGGAGCAAGCAGTGCTTGAAATCGATCGAACCAAGAAGACGGTGACGCTGGAGGATGGCAGAAGTATCAAATACTCCAAGTTGGTTGTAGCAGATGCCTGGCCTGGATATATCACTGATTTTGGTGGATTTTCGTGGGAAAGATCGGGAGAAAACTGGTCCAGTTGCTTAGGGGTTTCCAAAAGAATGGGGGATACCCCAAAATGAAGTGCCATTGAGTTGGGAAAATGGGGCAAAAAACAAAGATTGGTCTTGGCCAGATGCCATAGTGATTCTGCCGAAAGCTGATGTCCGCCGCGGAAATACCTGAGGAAACCTATTGGTCCTTGCTAAGAAAGAGACACCTGTAAAGGACTATACATCAGCATTGGCGACAAGGGGAGTTCAAAGGTGATTTTTTCTCTTTGTTTACCCTTCAGCAAATTTTCATATATGGAAAATCCACCCTTTACAAATCACTGGTGGGTGAAAAACCAGTGGTTTTCGATCCAACTCGAGGCCGGCATTTGGACGAACCATGTCTTGAAGGCCATGGATCTTGCGTTGCTGCCATTGGTTACCAGCATTGAACAGCAGACCTACTATGCTACACCTGAAGGCCCCGAAAAACCCTTTCTGGCGATCTCTTTATCGATATGATGGATGATGGGGGTATGTCTCAATTATTTTGCTACCCCCGTTCTTACCATTCCAGTTTCAAAATCACATCATTTCACTCCACATCTGGGAAGACATGGTGAGCTACAATGTGGGAATGCAGGACATGCAAAAAAACAAGGGTATTTTCTTGGCTGAAGAGAGGGTTTGGCCAGCAAAATAGTGAATAAACATGGATACTAAGCCCTAATATTTTTTTTCCTGGAGAAGTTACTAATGAGATTATCATCCTGATACGCAGGGTGATGTCAGTCCTACCCACGTAGGTCCGCGCTTGCCTGTGCAACTGTGCAAGCTGACACAAATGACAATATCATGTCATGGCAATGTCATGTCTGAAATATCATGATTGGTCATATCAGCGGCATATCATAAAAAAACTGTGACGACATCATATTCTATAGTCAGTGAATACCTACAATGGCTTATAATATCTATTGGCCATATATTCTAGTTATATCATTATAGCTATCTATATGGAGGTTTCCTGAAATGGGGGTACCCCCAAATCATCCATGAAATAGATTGGGATTTTCCATGAAATAAACCAACCAGCTATTGGGATATCCTCCATTTATAGAAACCTCCATATCAGTATTCTCTACAGGATGGGCGACCCCAGTTATGTTTGTTGGTTTATAAACCATGATAACCCCCGTGAATACTATAGTTACAGCTACCATAGACCAGAGTTAATTCAGCCACTTTTTTCAGGCAACTGAATGCTATCTGAGGGGCCCCATCCTGACTATAGTTATGTACCGAGGATCAGAGATGTACAGCTCTGGTCGTCTCCCCGTGACTTGGCGGCACTTGGCGGCTCGACATCAATTTTGCTCAGGGCCCATGGCTGTAGAAAAAGATGGTGAAATGGGGGTTCTTGTCAGTTCTTGTTCTTTGTTATCGTTTTTTTTGATTAAGAAACTCAAGAAGCTCACTTCTCTGGAGCATCTGCGACATTTTGCGATATGAGAAGCACAGGGAGAGGATGTGAGTGCACTGAAGCATATTAAGTGTGGCAGGTGAAACGACTGGAGGAGCTTGTTACAATTTGAGAAGCAAGTGGTCTCAAGGAAGAGCACAAGTTGGGACCATTTGGGTAGGCTTTTTCTCATATCACGACTTTTTGTCCAATCGTATTTACCAAGCATTTCAATCATATTTACACAGCATTTTTTCTGATATCCATAGCCAGGGCATGCCAGGGCTATCTCCTGTAGCCATGTATCGCAGCTCGGGAGTTTTGAGGTGATCATCGAGCACAACCCAGCGCCAGAGCCACAGATGAAGCGTCGAGGAGGCTACATGATTCCTCACCTGCCGGATGGTGTGCCATGGACCTTGCGATTTTTCATGGCATGTCTTTGTGAAAGAGACAGTCAGACAGTAAAATCAGTAAACCCTCCAAAGTTTGGTTGAGAAGGGATGAAAGGGGTCCTGAAAGTTCAGAGGTTCCCAAAATCAGCATGTGACTAACAGGATGGTGTCCAGTCTGAAGGGGTATCCCAAGCAGAATGCCAACAGACTGGGCCACTTAGTTCTACTTTGGCAGGCGGCCCAGCCAAGCTTTTTCAGCTCAAAAGTGGTCAGTCTCAAAATGCGTGCACCTAAAATTGCCTGATTGTGATCATGGGATCTTAAAGCCACTGGATGTTGGGTTTCTCCCTGTCATTTTCAGGAAAGTCCACTCAAAAACCTTCCCCAAAAATATCGCATCCAAACTACGGGGCTTGGCAAATCTGCCGGAAATCCGGGGATTTTGAATGTTTCAAGTATTTGTTGGGGATGAAGACTCCCCCCTTTGCGGTGATGTGACACTCCTCAGGTGGATGGCGTAAAGTTTGGCATGCACCGTCAAGGGCCCTTGATGGATCACAAGGAAACTGCGCGCGCGCCGGGTGTTTCGCGCGGGCTGGGCGGCTGGGCCTTGGGGAAGAGTATCTCCGTGAATTGGAGCGGATTCTCCCAACATCACCCGCGAATGGTTGGCGAATGGTTGTGATGTGTGCACATAGATATATTAATATATTCAGTAATCCTGGAGTATAATCTCTGACATTTTTCTATATTCAATTATTTTCAACGTTTCAGATCACACCTCAATTTTCCATAAAAGCTTCATTTCACCCTCGGGTGAGAAAGGTGACGATCGCCCATTGCTGTAGGACTTCCCCGTGCCCCCCGGTTCCACGGCTGCGGTGGACAAGATCTTCGCGGCCAGCGCAACGCGCGGCAAAGGGGAGCTTTGGGTTCAAAGGCGCCTTCGGTGGATTTGGGGAGTCGGGATAGCCGGGGGCCAAGATGTTAGGATAGCTTGGCATTTTTGGAGAAGCCATGGCAGCATGGCATTTTTACGATTCGGTTTCTGATCAACTTGGTTTCTGAAATGGCATTGTTTTGGGGCGCGCTTTTGAAACCCTGTGTGAAACTAGATTGATAGCCAAATACCCGTGATGTTTGTTTCTGGATGGAGAATTGCCCTGTTTTCTAGACATATTGCATATATTGCTTTCCCAGGCAGTTTCAAACATTTGTTTGGTGTCTTCAGGCCCTTTTTTGATATTCTTGGGATAGCATTGGTATCGACCTCATCTTTGGTGATCCCACGACAATTGTTGTACATCAAAGGTGCCGAAGAATGTCTTTCAAAGTTTCACGATGTTGATAGAACTTCACCATTTTGGAGATGATACCCTCTGGTAAACTAACACAACTATGGAAAATCACCATTTTCAATAGCTATGTTAAATTACCAGAGGGTAAAATGGGTCTCCCATTGTGGTTATCCCCGTGGATCCGGTCCCCGTTTCCGGGAGGTGGCCCGATGAGGAGGACCGGCACCTGCGGCAGGAGACCGACGCCTTCGCCCGGCGTGTGCTGCCGTCCTTGCGGACGGCGAAGGCGGCGGAGCTGACGATGCGGTGCCCCTACGACCAACAGCTCTACAGTGATGAGGACGACTAGGGCGACACTAGGGTTGGATCTTGATGGATGTTGGATGATGTTGAGGATGTTGGATGTTGGGGGTTAGGATGGGGGGATGACCCGACCCCATCTGTTTGATGTGATTTTGAATCAATGAAAATCACTGACGTTTTTCAGAATGTGCTCTTGGAGATAGCCGTTGGCACGTTGATGTGGAAAACCCTACTATTTGTAGATCATTTTCCGAAGGAAACCTTCTGGGTTTTCCAGATGTTGAGCCTCTAAAACCTGGGCGATGTGTATCCCAGCTGGTATGTTGCTTTAATAAACATGGAAACAGCCCACCCGTTTACAGATGGGATGTTTCCTCCAGTTATTCTATGTAGATGATATATGTTCATACATACATATATATATATATATACACACACACCTATTTACATATGCGCTTTTCAAAAGAGGATACCCAAAGCCCCTGGTTGATCATCATTTTCCTCATCCGAAGGACCATTTAAGCGGCTTTCGCGCATTCCTAGACACGCCCATATCATACCATATGGGTTGTCATAGCGCAGGACTTTGTGGTGGGCCTCCATCCAAAGGATCCCAATCTTGTTGTGGCTGCTCAGCAGGATTTGACCAAAGATGGACCTAATGAACCAGAAGACATGAGGATTTATGACCCCCTGAAGATTGTTTGAACTCCTGTAGAAATGCTGGTTTTGTTCATGTTGGGACCCCAAAGAAAGCAGGGTTTATGACCTTTTTACAATGATCTGGCGGATCGGATTGTGATTTGACTGGTGGATTACTCTGGAAAAAATCAACCCGCAACCTCGCAGAGACCTCACAGAGAACGTGAGGTTGGGGACCCCCAAAATTTGCCCAGACCATAGAAAAAAATATAATATGTATACATATATGTGTGTATATATATATATGTATATTGTGTGTATATATATATATATACAGACACACACTGTACATGTTGTATATCTTGTATATCTTGTATATCTTGTATATACTGTATATACATATATTGTATATATTAAGTATATTGTATATATATATATATATATATTGTATGCATATATATATATATACATATCGTATATGTATTGTATATACTGTATATACTGTATATACTGTATATATATATATATTTGTATATTTATATTTTAACATATTTATAATATAGTTTAGATATCTGTAGAACTTGTTGCAGGTCATCATCCCATGTCCAGAGGCAATTTGTCACCTGCAAGTCGTCATAGGTCTGCGGCTTCGCGGGCGAGGGCTTCAAGTTTGGCCCAGCCATTGGTGAACTCGCGGCGTGTCTGGTGACAGGCCGACCCTTCGCAGTGCCTGAGAGCCTGCAGCGTTTTCGCCTTGATCGACCTTGTCACGTTGTCGGCTGGGCGCCATGAAGCGAACTGGTGAAGTGGTGAAGGTGGATCCTCGTGGAGATTTCCAGCAGATCAGAAGTTTCGACCTGCTTCCATGGTTTCCATGTTTCCCAGAGAGCAGTTGATGCCCTGGATTTCTTCCCTGTAGCCGATGCCTGCTCGGCACGCCGGGGAAAGGAAGGGACGGATGGTGCTATGGAGCCAGGATGTGCCTCTTTTGTGACAAATATATGTATATATATACACATATAATTATATATATATATACATGTATACATAAATGAAAAAAAACTAAATAAATAAATAAATGACTATATATATATATAGCTATATATAATATGTATATATATATATAACAATTCGGGTGACAGGATCTAGTTCATCTAGTTCTGAGCAGGAGCATTCGAAAGCAGGGCTGCAAGATAGAAGTCGGATTCCCTGGCATTGGCTGAAACAGTTGGGTATGGCGTACAATTTTAAGGCACGGTAAAAACCACTCCCAACTTTCCCGGATTAGATATAAAATGACATATTTCTAGACTCAGTTTTGGGCAGTTTTTCAAATTTCTCTGCTGGAATCTCCTTTGGGCAGTTTTTTGGGATCGGATTTCAGCAGCGCTGAACGTGTTTGTTCCGGCGTAGGAACTGCACTTCTTTGACGATGACCAGGAGTTTGAGTGCGGTCCTTCCTACTACGCATCTGGGATCCAAAGGATCCAAAGGATCCAAAGATGAAATGTGATGAAGATTTTTTCAGGGGGTTTAGACCTGAAACATGGTTTAAAGATGTTTAAAACATGGATCAGTGGCGGAGTGTTGAGACCTCACTTGAAACAGATTATATAATTAGATCATATAAGATCTTGGAGACCCTACCTTGACACATTACTGTCCGCTCCTAGTTTTGATCCATGATGATCCATGGCTGTCTTTGTCAACGATATGATGGGACCGATTGCTGGTCGCTTTCGATTTTAGCCTGCGAGATTTTGCCAGAAGTTTATCCAAATCACCACGGGTTATCAGACTTATCCAGTATCTACTTATCAGACTTATCAGTTCAATGGGGGGAGATATGTCTGCCACTTGTGGGGTCGTTGAGAATGAAACCACCAAGTGACTCGAGTGACTCGTGTCCCCCCGTGGTGTCCAAGGCGTCTTGGTTCGACTGGGACTGCGAAATGATTGGGGACGTGACGCCAAGCTACATGAGCCTTGGTGGAAGTCGTGGTGATTCCATGTCAAAATCCCGTTAATCCATGAAGAGTTGTACGTAGTAGCTATAACTACTAGCTGTACCTAGTAGTTATATGTAGCTATAGCGTTATACCTATTTGTTATACCTACTAGTTATACATAATATACCTTGGGATCCTTGTAGTTCTAAGTATATAACTTTTTTTGAAAAAAAAGTTGCCACACATGGACATCCGTCGAGCTGATTTTTTCGAGCTCTCAAGATCCACCGCTCGAAGTGTCAGGGTGATACGGGTGATACACCCCCATGAATACCATAATATTATGATCATAATACCATGATATAGTGAGGGTATACCATGATTGAAGCTGTACTTACAGCTTTTTCGTGCCATGAATGGGCCATGAACTCCAGGGTTTTCCGCTCGGTTTTGCCAGGTACATTCCCAAGGCCTTGCAGCGCTTGCGGCGATATTTGCCGCAGGCGGGAAAGCAACGACGAATCCAGGGTTTCTTCAATCAATACATTTTATAGGTATCATATGACCTACATCAATAGGGTGTTACAAAGCTTTTTCTATGTATATTTTTATTTGGATGGAATTGGATGTCATTATATTGAGTTATATTGTGTTCATATGCTCAGCCGAATTCAGCCGACCTAAAAAAGGGCATAGGTTGAACTCACAGAGCTTCTGAGCTTCATGGCCATCCCGAGGGGAAATTTTTGTGAGACATCAATCAGTTTTTCTATTCCAATTATATAATAGTAACTATATTGATTGATGGAATATAACTATGTCTATTATTATCACTATTCTATATTATTATCACTATTCTATATAACTATATTGATAATATAGTTTGATTTCCCTATGTCTGCTTGGCAATTTGTCGATAAGACTTCAATCTCGGCTGGTAAAAAAGGCACTTTTTGATACTTTTTGACGGTAAACGCGCCATTCTTCTTCATCAAACCACCATTCTTGTTGGTTAAACCACCATATTTGTTGGCTAAACCAGCCTTTTTAAACGGCATTTTCGGCAGACAATTCTCCTTGCCACGGGCAGGCCAAACTGGTGGTCTTGTTGCGGAACCCCATCAACCGTGCGGTGTCGCATCACAACCACGACCTCGCCAAGTGCGCGCAGCGTTGATGGCGAATGGTACAGGATGGGCCCCCCAGGGATGTGAACGTTGGTTTAGATTTACCCCATGAATACTATAGTTATCTAGTTCGGTATATCTACCATAAACCACAGAATTCAGCCACTTATAAACCAATTTAGCATCTTGGGGGCCCCATCCTGTAAGAATGAAAGAGAATTTGCCTTCTCGAACAGTTTTGACACTCATTTCCATGTGAGAGTTCCGGGGGTTAGAGGATGAGCTTCCGACCAGAAATGGTCATTACAACAAGTTCCACATGCTTCCATATTCGTTTTCCTGAGGTTGACTTGGCAAACTTGCATATTTGGGGGAAGGGATCACCATCCACTAAACCAACATTGAGATATACAACAGGATATGATGGAATATCATGGAATATAATGGGATATACTGGAATAATGTGTGTATATATATACACATATCTATGTATGATATGTGTATATATGTGTATATATATACACACTGTGTATATATATATATATATCTATACATGTATGATTATAGAACCAATAATATCATATGAATCATATGGTATTGTCCAACCTGGGGTTTCAGCGGTCTGAGTGTCAGGTACAGGGATGTGGGAGACTTGGAGGGGCGTTTCGAATTAGAAACGAGCATCGAAGCTCAGCTGCAGATGTCAGACTTTGAGCGATTCACCTCATTGCTTTGTCGGTGAAGAGCAGCAGTTGGAAGCCAGTGAATACATATATGTATATATGATTATATATGCATAATGCACAACACGTACATATGTAATAGTTCAAGAAGTCCGTAGTTGGTTAGAATTTTTCTCTCCCATCAACCCAAGGAAGATGCCGAGCCTTCCCTTTCCGATGCTTTTGGACGAGGTGCAGAAGTCTCACATCGCGGCTGAGAAATCTCTATCAACAGGTAGCATCAACCAAATTATTAAGCATGATTGGGGAATATGAAAACCATATAATCCGTATTAAACCCATATTCCTGGGATATATGCTTAAATATTCTGTTAATCAAGTGAGTGGTGATAATTCCCAATCTAAAGTTGAAAATTCGGATGCTTGGTGAACTTGTTGATCAGCCATTTCTTCACTTATCATCGTCGGGTGACGATGATCCACTGGCAGGTTTTTACAGCATCCAGTTGAAGCGGATCTTTGATCTCTACCCGCGGGATCAAGTTCTTGCCTCTTGGGCTGGATCGCAGAAGTTTCATCTCCGATCACTCCAATCTCCTCCCTTTTTGGCTGGTGAACTGAGTGAACCGCCCAAACTTTCATGGTAAATTTCAGATATTCATTAACTTGTACGAAGCCCAACATGTTTTTTCGAGAAATTCCCCCATGTTCGCTGGTGAACCATCCAAATCCTACAGTGTTTGTTTCACAGTTTTTTTCGCACCATCCCCACGTGTCACTGTGGCACTGGTCCTCGTGAGAGGTCCTCATCTCGGAACGCTGTCGAAGGGACCCACTGCGATACTTGCAGCGCGTGGCGCAGTTCTTAGGGTTGCAGGTGGCGTCCTCAGATCCAATTTAGCTCACGATTCCTTGTGAAATCCCCCATTCCTAGTTGGCATCAACCGCAGAAAACGCATGATGCTGCTGATGCTGCTGCTGCTGATGGTGGTGATGATGATGATGATGATGCTGCTGCTGCTGATAATGATGATGCTGCTGCTGACGATGATGATGATGATGATGATGATGATGCTGATGATGATGATGATGATGACGCTGCTGGTGATGATGATGCTGCTGATGATGATGCTGATGCTGCTGCTGATAATGATGATGCTGCTGCTGATGATGATGCTGATGATGATGATGATGATGCTGCTGCTGCTGCTGATAATGATGATAATGATGATGATGATGATGATAATGATGATGCTGCTGCTGATGATGGTCATGCTGATGATGATGATGATGCTGATAATGATGATGCTGCTGCTGATGATGATGATGCTTCTGATGCTGCTGCTGCTGCTGATAATGATAGTGCTGCTGCTGCTGCTGATGATACTGCTGCTGATAATGATGATGCTGCTGCTGATGATGGTGATGCTGATGCTGATGATGCTGATGATGATGCTGCTGCTGCTGCTGATGATGATGATGCTTCTGATGCTACTGGTGCTGATAATGATAATGCTGCTGCTGCTGATGATGATGCTGCTGCTGATAATGCTGATGCTGCGGCTGATAATGGTGATGCTGATGATGATGATGATGATGATGCTGCTGCTGATGATGATGATGATGCTGATGCTGATGCTGATGCTGATGCTGCTCCTGCCGCGGCTGCTGCTGCTGCCGATGATGATGCTGATGATGATGTTGCTGCTGATGATGATGATGCTGATGATGATGATGATGATGCTGATGCTGCTCCTGCTGCTCCTGCTGCGGCTGCTGCTGGTTCCGATGATGATGATGCTGATGCTGCTGCTGCTGCTGCTAATGATGATGATGAAGATGATGATGCTGATGATGATGATGATGATCCTGCTGATGCTGCTGATGCTGCTGCTGCTGATAATGATGATAATGATGATGATGATGATAATGATGATGCTGCTGCTGATGATGATGATGCTGCTGATGATGATGATGATGATGATGATGATGATGCTGATGATGCTGATGATGCTGCTGCTGATGATGATGATGCTGCTGATGATGATGATGCTGCTGCTGATGATGATGATGATGATGATGATGCTGATGATGCTGATGAGGATGATGGTGATTCTGCTGCTGATGATCATGATGGTGCTGCTGATGATGATGCTGCTGATGCTGCTGCTGCTGCTGATAATGATGATGATGATGCTGCTGCTGCTGATGATTATGCTGATGTTGGTGATGCTGCTGCTGCTGATGATGATGATGATGATGCTGCTGATGACGATGCTGATGCTGATGCTGCTCCTGCCGCGGCTGCTGCTGCTGCCGATGATGATGCTGCTGCTGCTGATGATGATGATGATGATGCTGATGCTGATGCTGCTGCTGCTGATGATGATGAGGATGATGGTGATGATGATGATGATTATGATGCTGATGTTGTTGTTGATGATGATCCTGATGATGATGATGCTGCTGCTGATGATTATGATGATAATGTTTCTTTAAGAACCAACAAAAAACAACATTTGCCCGCTGGAAACCAACATCTTGGTTTGGTTAGAAAATATTCAGACAGTGGCCTTTTCATATGTACCATCGTCAAGAGTGGGATTACGTACCCATATTATCCCGTTTTAGGGATGGTCATCAATGAATTACTAGGGAGTTACATGCCCTGATTCTGGGATGGACGACCATATCACAGATGTTTTGACCATTGTATATGTTTTGTATCTATAGATTTACTACAGATATATCTATATTGTCTATATCTATATCTACAGATAGTCAAATCTACAGATATATCTATATCTATGTTACTTCCTGGCAGGGTACGTGTAGCTGATTTCAATGCTTCGTCACTGTCCAGGAGGTTCCCTGGATGTCGTGGGAGATCTTTGAGGAGCAGCACGTGACGCTGTGGGATTGGCGATGCATTGATCATGTGGGGATGGGCGATCGTTCTGCTTGTACATATATATATATATATATATGGATCATATATGGATCATATATGGATCATATATGTACAATACATATCTATTTACATAGTTAGATAGTAATAGGATGTAATAGGTATATCTCTCCGGAAAAACAAACACGTGTATTTTGGGAGGTTTCCCATCCTCCCCCGAAAAAGGTACGTGGCTGGTACTGGGAAACGCCCGCACGTCGTTTTCGGAAACGGCTGCAACGGTACTATGCTCGCGAGGTGAAGCAGCAATGGGAATGGGAGGTTTTTCTGGTTTTTTGCCCCTGACAAGTGGTTGGGAAGGATGATGTTAAAGATGGTTTCGATGGTGGTTTAAGATGGTTTCATGCTCAAAATCACCGGTCTATGATGGTCTATGATGGTTTATGATTTTGGGTTGTTTAGCGGTTCAACACGGACGGATCTCAGCTTTGGAAAGCCATGTAGACATGGGATGTCCCGGCCTTCCACCTGGAAATAAATCCTGTGGTCCGACAGGTTATTTTCAGGGTCTATATTAATTGGGGGAGGATACTATGTTGTTTTTGAAAATCATACAATGTTATCGTTGTATGTGTATATACATATATATATATATTGGGTGTTGTTAGTGAGGCTCCCAACATTTTTCTCGTTCTACGAAGGTCATCATCTGCCAATCTGATCAGACCGTGGCCCTGACCCACAGTTGAGCCACATCGGTGATTGATGGTAAAAATTGGAGTTACTATTCTGACTTGGTTCGGTGATTGCGGTAATGTAATCAGATAGTCCAATATTGGAAGCCCCAAGAAGTAGAAGGACTGTACTGATAGAATACCAGATATGAAAAATTGGGCTGAAGTAGCAAATGTGGTAAGCCTAGGTCCCATAAACCCTTCGGTGGACATGGTTTTTAATGGCCAAATTGGCAAGTCACTAGGTACATTGGGCAATCCCCTCGGGGATGGGAGATCCATGATTTTTTCGCCAAGATGGACAAGTGTTTAATCCAATCCTGAAATAGTGTATAGCAAGCCCCAAAAAGGTAGAAACAAATCTTCAACCAGGAGGTTGCAGATGGTATATTTTCCCTACGTTTTTCTTTTTTGGGGTTGCTATACTACTATACACTAGTTGGCTGCTGTTGCTATAGCATCTGCTGTTTGAGGCTTACCACTTTTCGAATTCTCCAGTTCCGCGTTGCCAGGTCCAAGTCCTGCGCAGCCTGTTGCGGGACGCGCTTCCTGTGGGGCATCCCGGTAGGGGCGCTGACCCTGGGGCGAATGTTTTTACGGGTGTTTTCTCTGGGCGCAGTGTTAGAGGTTGGAAAGAAGCATTTTCCAGCTTCCAACGTCGGACGAAGTCTCGTTAAGATATGTCTTTTTTCAAGCTTCTGTCTCCTAAAACACCTTGTCCCCAGGTGAAATGGCGAAAGGTGATGTTTGTGCATGAGTTCATTTATTTATTTCAAGTAGAAAGGTAAGTGGGGCAGGGGAGAAGGTGACTGTAGTAGGGGCCAATGTGATCCACGGGTAGGGGCGAATGTGACCCATATATGGACATATGGGGGTTAAACTTTCTTGACCACTGGCTAACCGTGGCGAGGCAGATGAAGCGTTACCAATTTGGTTGGTCAGTTGGCACCATGTAATCAGCGAAAGGTAAAGATCCAGGGCCTCTTTGATTTCGGATTCTTCCTGACAATACCAGCCGTCTCAGGAGTGGAACAAAGACTTTGGATGGCGGCACTACGTGCCGCGACAGCCACGACAACTGTGTTGGTGTGGGCACCCGTGCGTTGGAACACTGGACCGTTGTTGCTCCATAAAGAGGTGGGTCAAAATCATCGTAGCATGTTCCTACAGGGTTTTGGGCCCCCAGTCGAGCTCGCGTTCAGTTGCCTGAAAAAAGTGGCTGAATTAACTCTGGTTTATTGTAGATATAACATGATATAACTTTAGATAACTATGGTTATATAATGGGGTAAATCTAAACCGACGTTCACATAACTGGGGCCCCATCCGGACCCTCAATGACTTGACCCAGGTTTTTCTGCAGGGATTGGAGATTTTGGGCTTTGCAGATTAAAACTTAGACATGGAAAAATCATAGTTAACCTCAGAGTGAAAACATTACATTGAATCAGATTCGGGCAAATGGGTACTTGTGAGCTTGCGCTAGAATGTGATTCTTCTAGAACTTGAACAACAGACGTAGTCGCGCTGTTTTCCCCGGTTCATGCTTGTACATTAGTGATTGTCCAATGAACCGGACAGATCTACAGGAGCCTCAATGACGGGAACCTTCTCTAAATGGGCCTCCAAATGTATAATTTCAGTACCAAACCATCGTTTGGGGAGGTCAATTATGATTGAGAGTTGGAACCTCGAAGCACCAGAAATGGAGAAACACATTTGTCATATCTTTAAAATCATATATAACATGATGAGAGATGTGATAATCATAATATGTCTATGACAATGTCTATCACCATGATGTCTATATCACATAGCCAAGACCGATCCCGACTGAGGCGTGGTGTGGAGCGTGACGACCGAGGTCGAGACACGCTGTTTTTTTTCAGGATGAAAACCATAGGAAAACTGGCGAAATCCATAGGAAAAACCATCTTTTCTTGCCAAACATGATGGTTTACTGGAGATTTTGTCTTAAACCAATCCAGCCACAGTTTGAGCCATGTTTTGAGACACGCTGTGCAACATTTCTGGTGACATGGGCGTTTCTCCCGAACTCGCTCCGCAGCACTTGCTTCACATGTGTCATGGTCTGGCCATGAAAAGTGGATGGCCATAGCATGAGCGTTGGCCAAAAAGCGGCTATATTGGTTCACCCAATGGTCGTTGGAATCCCCAATGGTTGTTGGATCCGATTTGATCTGGGCGCCTTTACGCCGCGCCAGGCAGCACGCGGAGAGCTTCCAAAGTACTGCGGAACGAGAAAATCTGTGGAACGGCGGAAAGCTGCGAGAGTACAATGAGAGATAGAATGGCTAAACGAACATGGGAATACGACATTTTGTCAGCAAGCATTTATTCATGTGCACTCCTACTTATAGTCAGTAAGTGGTTAGCAACCATGGTTATATAACCCAGTCTTTGTGGGGTATCCGGTATCCCCAATTATATTCGTCATTAACTAACCAGTCACTAGATAGAACGCAGATCCAGTCGTAAAGGACCCAATGATCAGCCGATCGTTTGGTGGAGAGTTGATGGTCACTTTATTGAGCCAAACTCAAATGGGTAGGCCGGCTAGGCCTTACATGCTTGAGGGTAAGTGCGAAAGGAAACCTCCACAATTTTGGAATTTATTGGGACTGCATTACAAACCAGCATGTTAAGCATGTAAGTATTATAACAAATACTACATGTATACATATACATTAATATACATATATTTATAGGGTAACCAGCATTTTAAGTATGTGCGTATTTTTCAATATACATGTATACATGTATAATTACATGTATAATTACATATATATATATGTACAATTATTGATATACGAATACAGTTGTGACTTAAGGGGCATAAGAGAGCATCCCGAGCGATAGTCTTGTCGGAAGTGTATGCAGATCTGTATCTATCTATCTATCAATCTATCCATCCCATCCATCCAGACATCTCGACGTAGCATTTTGTAGGGCTGCTGCAAACTTGGAAGCGTTGCTGAGCGCTCCACCACTGTATGCAACATATGTGGTGTATGTTGTTTCTTGTAGAAACATATATAATATGCAGTAAACAAAGCACATAGCATTCATATATATATATAGCATATAAGGTAGAATATATATATATATGCTCTGTATGTAGGATTAAATACTAATCCACAACATTGATATTGGTATTGCTACTATTGACAAGAAACATACTAGGAGTCAAAAAGTAGCAATGATGAATGAACCTTACTACTTTATATATAAATATCTACACATATCTACATATATATCTACATTATATATATACATAAATACACTCCATTTTGGTCGATTAACCCTTCAAGATCCGTTGTGGTCCTCGATGTTTTCCAGATCCACGGCACCGTTCCCAGGTGTGCTACGGATCGTGGAGGCTTTATGGGACAAAGATCCCCCAGAGGCGTCGCTGAAGTGCTGATGTCAGTGATCTAACCATCCCAAAAAAAAGGTTCTAACCATCAACTGGTATTTGATGGGATTCAATGGTGATTTACTGGGGTCCAATGGTGATTTATATGGTGATTGAATGGTGGTTTGATGGGATTCATGGGATTTGACCAGAAATAGGGAATTCGCCATCGACCCGCTGGTTTGCCCCACATGGGTTTGTCTCAACATGTGGAACAGGCCCTGGGTGATCATCATTAGGAACTGATATGATAGGTACTTAACATTACTTAACCATCAAACATGATGATCATGATATTGGGTATTCAGTGTATGATCGTATGGATGATATGATATATTTTGGTTCCACTGAACCATGAAAAGTAGGAACTTAACCATCAAACATGGACTTTGTCTATGGTTTGTTGGAGAAATAAACTTGGTAAACGAGTGAACACCATGTAATCCCACTATCATGGTCGTTAATAGTTAGCAAAGGATCAACACACCGTCACGACTACTTGTCACCTGTCGACACTAAAAAAAAATTGGATGGGTGAAAAACCATGATTCACCCATGATCTTAAAACTTCCCATATGAATGATTGTGAGGGGAGCATCCATAACATCAGCAATTTTGATTTTGAGTGGCTGCACGCCACGGTTGATTGATGATTGTGGGAAACCGAATGCCATAAACGACTACCATTTGGGGTAAACAAACCACCCACATATTGGCAATATTGGGGATAGGTTATTGGGTTTTGCACATTAACCCACCAGAAATTGGGGATGATCATCGAAAAATTCTGAAAACTGCTCAAATGATCTTTCAGAGCCCTGTTCTCCGCTTTTTTGGCTGGTGAAGTCAGCCAATTCTTGATTGGTCGCAGGCCCTTCTACTGGAACGGCTACTACAGGCAGATGTTGGTGCTTGGTGTTGAAGGATTGTCCTGGTGAATGCGCCTAAATCCCAGTAAAACAGTGATATAACTTATTTTTCTATCTTTTTTTGGGTTGCTATGTAGCTAATGTTTATACCCTGTAGAGTGGGAGAAATGCATTTTCGAACCGCTTGTGATTTGCTGGGGACAGTGAAAGTAAGTAACCCATAGCTGGTAAGTTTACATCGTTTTTTGGGATATGAGCAGATTTCTTGCAACAATCATATGAGGGGAAGACCTTGCTGCCATAGTTGCCGGAAAAAAATTGACGCATTTTCAATCTATGATTTCTGGATATCCCGCTAATTAAATCGTTGGTTATGCGATTTGAATGGGGGTTAGATGGAGCACTCTTGCGCTGAATGAGATTTAGGCTAAGATTCATTTTGGGATCATCATGGTCACTGAACGCAATAGTGCAGCATATGTGTATTCTAAATGGGCTTCTAACCCGCCATTTGAAAAGTGCTGGAGGGTCTTGTCTCCATTTTTGGGAAACAAATTGATGTAAAAGGAGGACCAAGATGATAATCAAAGGTGAGATCATGACCACAGGTATCGCACCTGGAGCATTGAAAGCCTGTGCTTGGCTGAAGCGGAACGCATAGGTATTGCATATAGTTGGGATATTTTTTGGCATTAAACCATACGAGAGGCACCATTTTGTGGATGCTCGGACCACAGATTGGCTGGTCACTTTGCGCCATGAAAGCATCGATTTTGTGGGTCGATGTTCATTAAGAGATGTACTCTACCGCTACGGCAGGCATGGATCTACAACTCCTTCGACCTGTCAGAAGACGGTAAACAGGCATTGGATGTTGGATGTCGATCCAACTGCGGGAAAGCTTGCAGAAAACTCTTGGGAAGGTTCAAAAGATTTTGGATTCCAGTGACCTTTTGAGATTTCAAGTATTTTTAAGTCACCAACATTTACATACCATGTCATACTCTCTGGTAATGAAACATGGCAACGAAATCACGGTTGCGTGAAAGTCATCAAGAAAAAACATCTATCGGATTTTCAGAGGTCATCCATAAGATCCGTTTCGGACATCATTCCCAGCATGAATCCATGAACCTAAAAGTGGAGGTCCATTCCTCATTTCTGGAGAAATCTTCATGCTGTAAGTACTGTACTGATTCTATTTTTTTTACCAAACGACGATTTAGAATTTTGGTGTCATTTTCCCAAGATTTTCCATGTGTGCCATGGTAAAAAAACTGTTTGATTTCTTATATTGGCACGGTATAAGGATTCCCAATATGGGATGACCATAAACATCCATAAACCATATTAACCATATTGTTGATATCGATTATATATCCCATTCTATTTCCAACCCAGTATTGTTGGTTATATACCCATGAGACCCTAGATTGCCATTATATATACCATCTCTCTTTGTATATACAGATTGTGTACTAATAGCGTATAAAAACTACTAATAGCGTATATATAAATGCTACTAATAGCTATATATATATATATATCCGGGATATCCCGTTATTGTTGGTAAATTCCCATGTTTTGACCATGGCACATGTGGTTTTTCCACCAAGCTTTGGTACAGGCCGGTGTGATCTTCTTCGCCTCTGCGATGATGTCCCATTCCTGCGCACCCAACGCGGTGCGCGGTGCGATTCTAGCGGATGTGGGCAGCTGGTATTTTTTAAGTGGCCTCACATCACATCAATGTATCTGTCAGTTTATCCCTAAACTCTAGATCAGTCTATAGAGTCTATCCTCAATCAGTCTATATAGCTTTATATTCTAGATGTTGTCTTTTTTTGAATATCATCTAAAGTTTAGTGATGAAAACTGATGGTAGAAACTGCAGAAACTTTCTTTTTGGATACGTGGAGATCCGGAAGGCTTGGCATCTGGACGAGAATAACAGCTTCATCCTGCACGCGCGGTGCTTCATCGAAGCTGGAGAGGTGAGCGATGACTATTCGATTTTTTTTATTTCCGCAATCATTGCGGGATGATTATCCGAAATGATGATCCGCTGAGCTGAAGCAACTGTTCTGAGATGATCAACTTGAACTACCCAGCGAAGGGTTGATATGTGTATTTAATAGTGGTTCAAGCATTCAATTTCTGCGTTGAACGCATGGTGAGGTGCTGAAACTCCCAGTGGTTCGCTCCGCTGGCGTCAGGAGGTGACGATTTCCTATCTCAGCCCGGAAGAATTGATGCTGCCGACCCTCCATCGACGAAAGCTGCTGCAGAGCACCAAGGTGCACTTTTTGGGATTTGAGCGAATGATCCCCAACGATTTTCATATATATATACAATATAATATATATATAATATAATACATATTATATTATATTATATTATATTTATATTATATTATATTATATTATATTATATAGATTATCAATTATATGGATGTAAAATACTAGCAATCAGCCAAGATATGGAGATTTCTGTCAATTTCTGTGATTTTGCCATATTTGCCATAACTCATAATTTCTGTGATATTGTTTGTTAAAAATCCGTGTCTTTCTTTGTTGGATCCCTGTTTTGGCTGACCAGCGGAAAACTGCAGGGCTTCACTTGCGGCTGCTGCCGCTGTGTCGAAGTTCTAGACCCAGCGAGGCTGAACCTGAGGATTTGAGCTGATCATCTACAAATGGTGCGATTTCATGGGGAAATACATACATATATCTATATATACATGTGTATACCTATATAGAAATATGTATACCTATATATATATATATATGTATATGTATATGTATATGTATATGTATATGTATATGTATATGTATATGTATATGTATTTATTTGGGATGATATTTTTTCATGTGATAGCATTGGGATGGGTGTGGCCGGGAACATCTCCAAATGCCCAATTTTTGGAGGGAAGTTGTGATCCATAGTGGATTCGTCCTTGAGTTTGTCAGCTTTCGGTGAGGGCCTTCAAGTGCGGAGATTGCGGCACAGAGGTCATTGCTGGGAATGGACAAGAATAGTCCCCAGATTGAAGCTGTGTTTCTGCTTTAGGTTTCTTAGGTTTCCACATTCCAACCCAATCTTCGTGGATAACTTGGCAGACTCGCGAAGCAGGAAATGAATCACTTGCAGACTTGGATACAAGTACAAATGTAACCACACAAAAATTGGGAATAGGATGAATTTCAATAGGGGCTACATCATGGGAAATGGCTTCAACCAAAAACGGCAGGAAATTTCATAGAGCCAGCAGAAAACGAAAAGGTTGGAAAAATACGATTAAAACGGCCGGAGGAGAGGACCAAAATCTTGCGGCTGTTTGAAATGAGTTTGTGTATTTCCACAGGATGGTGCCCCCCAGTTATGTGAACGTTGGTTTGGATTTACCCCATGAAAACTAGTTCGTTATCTAGTTCGTTATATCTACCATAAACCAGAGTTAATTCAGCCACAAACATAAACCAACTGAACGCTATCTGAAGGGGGCCCCATCCTGCAAGTGCTATGTTTACATGGCCAGGCTCTGGCGCGGGCCCAGCCAGGCACCGTGCCAAGAATTGGCCACATCAATGGATGAGATATTCAGAATTTCTGCATCGAGTTCTTCACTGAAATGATTTTTGTTGACAAGTTGAGTTTCTTCATTCCATGATATTCATCAACGGCGCGCAATGTGATTTTGAATGGCGTTCACTTTTTTGGGGGATAAGATGCGCCAGATGCCGACAAGGATGAACTGGTCGTTGCCCCAGATCCCAGATGAAACGACCAGGAATGGTCTAGACCCCTTAATGGTTATTTTCATGCTATTTCAATGAGATGAGGATAACACATTGATGATCGTTGATGTAGTTGGGGTCGGAATTGCCGCAATTTTCATGGTGGATAATCCTTTGCTATCCTTATACCATCTAGAAATAAACAAAACATGGTGAAATCAGTGAAAGCCCTGCTTTTCCTCGTTGAAATTCCAAGATTTCGAGGTTTGCCAGTCCTGTGGGCAGCGCGGCGAGCGCGGCGAGCCCGGCGACGGCTGGGCGCTGCGTGCCTTGCAGCTGGAAGCGAAGTTGACGCCATGGGCCAGGCGAAAGCATTGGTGGATGAGAATGGATAGGGCTTCACTGGACAATGGATAAGTAATGGATACTTAATGGAAACATGATGGATTATTATGGATAACTCCTGGATAACCCTTGATTTTCCCATTTCATGCTGGGGATTTTCCAGCTATGTTTGACTGCCAGAGGGAAGGCTTGTTGTTTTGGTCACAGTCAATCTGGATGGATTAAGTTAAGACCTCACAGGCCAACGTCAATGTATATATATATATATAAATGATGGTTTATATGTGACGGAATCATCATCATCATCATCATCATCATCATCATCGTCATCGTCATCGTCATCGTCATCGTCATCGTCAGCGTCATCGTCATCGTCATCGTCATCGTCATCGTCATCGTCATCATCATCATCATCATCATCGTCATCATCATCACCATCATCGGGAATATTCGTGCATACTGTATATCGCGGGAAGTAGAAAATACCAAGATAACCAATTAAACTATATCTCTATTTTCCCCCAAACAGTGTGGCCACACTGAGGGGTTTTTACGGTAAGTGTTGAGGCCCGGTGTTCAATCGAGGTGGCATCGGAAGCTTTTGGTATTTTCTCTTTAAATTTCCGCACAAAATGCCTCTTGTGACATGTCCATGTGCATTTCGACTGCGCAGGCTTGCACAAAATGCTGGCCCCGGGATACGCGTACGGCATTTTCCCTGTAAATTTCCGCGCGGAATGCTTCTTGTGACATGTCCATGTGCATTTCGACTGCGCAGGCTCGCACAAAATGCTTCTTGTGACATGGACATATGTAAATTTCATCATCATCATCATCATCATCATCATCATCATCATCACTATTATCATCACCATCATCATCGTCATCATCATCATCATCGTCATCATCATCACCATCATCATCACCATCACCATCACCATGACCATCATCGACAACATCACCATCATCATCAACGTCGTCATCAACATTTACATCATCTTCAACATTATTATACATGATCTTTTTACCTCCCCCACACTGTTTGGCGGAAACACTTCAATTCTTGTTTATTGTAGAGTCATGGAAACAGATTCTGTAGATTTGCACTATGTATAGATATATACATATATGTATGCTACAAGTAAATTGGACATGTTCTATATCCACATTTGTTTTTAAATTTTTGGCAAGATATCAACAAAGCAAGGTTTGATATCACCTCCGTAAAAGGTAGATAGGGATGGGTCAAAACCTACGATTTTCCCAAAATTCTATTTTTCTGATGAACATCCATGAGCACAGGTCGCGGCCATGGTTTTCGACCCTGGCAAAGGCGGTCAACCGGACAACACTCATCTTCTCTTAGCCCTAAGTGGGGTATAAAATCGCCCAATGGGGGATTCAATGGGGATATGAAAAAAAATCAAGGTCGGAGTAAAAAAAATAAATTCCAGATTTAAAATTTTAAACTTTCTACTTCTGCAGTCTTTTGTAAATGTATGGGAGGCTGTATATGTATACTTTCTACCGGAGTTTATTCTAATGAACTCCTGCCTTTCCTGTACAGTAAGTTTTTTCACTCTAGTTTTTGACATACTGGCAGTATGTCAAGTGTTCGGCGGTGTTTTGCGCACCCAGCATTTACATCTCGGGTTTGAATCACGGATGGTTTCCAGTAGCTGCTTGGGAAGGTGTACCTTCGAGCTGGCTGCTACCTAGCAGCTAGTGCAGCACAGAAAAAAAAACCTAAAACCCACATCACACCACCTCAATGCAATTCAATGCATCAGTGAAACTTGCTGGGGTCCTGAAGTATTGGTATGTGCCTGCAGACCGGCATTACGATGCCACAGAGCCTGGCTAAGCCCCGCCAGACAAAAGATTTGTAGTGCCAGCGCGTTTTTGTAAAGCAGATTCAAATCCACAAATCAAACCCAACGAAGTGAAAGAATTGCACCTGAGGCGTATTCAGCACCTTTGCCTTTCCCTGGCAAAACAGATGCGCGAGTTGAGCAGCAAATAGAAAAAAATAAATCTGGTCTTAGTTCTTCCTCAGATGCCTTTGGGCGTGCAAGATGACAACTGAGAAGAACGAAGCCAAGATTTGAATCCAAAATCGCTGCAAGTATGCGCATGTCTAGAAGAGAGAAGAACTAACTTTGCATCTAGTTCCAATTTCTTCTAACTCCTACCTTCAGCCTCTACCATTGGGATATAAACCAAAAAATTAGGATAATCGTCTTATCCAACAGGAAAAATGTCATGTGGTATTTGTTTTTGGCACACATGGATGCGGGAAATGGGAAGCAGGGCGACGCACTTGTGCTGGGGTCTGAAAACTGGCGAAGTTTTTTTTTGTCGAATATCGCTGTTCAAGGATCTTTGTATTATTATTGTTTGGCAAACGTTGTTACTGGATACTCACATTCATCGTTTAGATTTCATTGAGCCATGACTGGAGACGTTTTCTGGATAACTATGCTGTCCTCTTTTTTGTTAGGCGGCGCTCAGTTCTTTGGCTGGCCCATATGATTATATTGGTCAAAGATATGCTGTCATGAGGTACGTAGGTACATACATATTGACCTAGATTCAAAGCAGATAATGGATGATAATGGTCTGTTGGTTTGACCTTAGCGATTTTGAACGTTGAATTCCATTCAAGTCAGATGCAATGGGAGGGGCTCATGACGATAGGGAAGATCCACGAGAACTGTCTGTTGGTGTGACCCCGAAGGTTATCGGTGCAGTTTTTGGGATTGTTTGAAGCGACATTCATACAGGATGTCTTCGTCCGTCTGTTGTTCACCACCTCTCTTCTTGCTGATCAATGGCACATCAAGGCCAAAATGAATATCTATATCTATCTATATATATATAATGTCAACCCTGGATTAATAAACCCCAAACGATTCTTAAATTGGGAAGGTAGCATTTAAGTATCATATTATGACTATTGAAGGAGTACCCCCCCTAATTAATAAACCATGGTTTATTAATCCGGGGTCGACATTATATATCAAGCGCTATCAACCTTTCTTTTGATGCTTGGCATGGTTCGTACCCAGAGGTTTCTTCGCATTCTGCAGGTCCAGGACGAAGTGGACGATGCGCCTGAGGCACAGCTCCCCGAAAAAGGTGGGTTTTTAAGCACCATAAATGACTATGAACTTATGAACCATAAATTTATGGTTGCTGGATGTTTTGACAACTAGCTAAAATCTATGGAATCCATGAACTATGGTGTTACATCTACCATAAACATCCATAAACCATAAATTTTAGCTAGTTGTAAACCAGCTTGTAGGCCCCACAGGCCAACGGCACTGGAACCGAATGTTCTGATGTTTCCATCTCAATGCCGGTACACGATGGATCGGAAACGATTTTCAGCATCTTTCCATTGCCGCTTCACGTGGATTCCAAGCTTTTGGCTGCCGCCTGTCTGCTTGTCTGCCTGGCTGTTTGCGTGTCTGTCTGTCTGCGTGTCTGCCTGTCTGCCTGTTGCATAAATTAGCACATTGACATATTAATCATGAAACACACACACACACAACACAAATACGTACATACACACACACATATATAAATATATATATATATATATGTGTATATGGATAGCTATCCATCTCCAATAGCTGCAACTAATATCTGCAACATTTCATCATTCAAAAATGCCAGCAGTACGTCAGGCCAGCCTGGCCGAAGGCGAAGGAGTCCTGAGCGACAGGCTGGGCGGTTGGGGGGGCAATTGGGGCAGCATGGAGCGTGGTGACTGGAGGTGGAGTGTTGGATTTTACCAAGGGACATGATGATATTATATATATATATACATGTATACAATTTCTATATCTATATCTATATCTGCATGCATGTATGCATGTATGCATGTAATGTAATGTAATGTAATTTAATGTAGTGTAGTGTAGTGTAATGTAATGTAATGTAGTGTAATGTAATGTAATGTAATGTAATGGTATGTAATGGTATGCATGTATGTATGTATGTATGTATGTATGTATGTATGTAATGTATGTATGTATGTATGTATGTATGTATGTATGTATGTAATGTTTGTATGTAATGTATGTATGTAATGTATGTATGTAATGTATGTATGTAATGTAATGTATGTATGTAATGTATGTATGTAATGTATGTATGTATGTATGTATGTAATGTATGTAATGTATGTATGTAATGTATGTGATGTATGTATGGATGTAATGTATGTGATGTAATGTATGTGATGTAATGGTATGTGATGTAATGGTATGTATGTAATGGTATGTGATGTAATGGTATGTGATGTAATGGTATGTGATGTAATGTAATGTGATGTAATGTGATGTGATGTGATGTGATGTGATGTGATGTGATGTGATGTGATGTAATGTAATGTAATGTAATGTATGTATGTATGTAGGTAGGTAGGTATGTATGTATGTATGTATGTATATATGTATGTATGTATCTATCTATCTGTCTATCTATCTATCTATCTATGTGTCTATGTATGTATGTATGTATCTATCTATCTATCTATCTATCTATGTATCTATGTATCTATGTATCTGTGTATCTATGTATCTATGTATCTATGTTGTGTTGTGTTGTGTTGTGTTGTGTTGTGTTGTGTTGTGTAATGTAATGTAATGCAGTGCAATGCAATGCAATGCAATGCAATGCAATGCAATGCATGGTATGTATGTATGTATGTATGTATGTATGTATGTATGTATATTTATTGATCTAGTGATATAGGTTGGGTATAATGGGGGTATGATGGATATAGTGATATAATAGAAATGGTTATAAACATTTCAAGCAAGCGGGATATTGTAATGGGACATAATATGGATATCATGGGGATATACTGAGGATACAATGGGGATAATGTTAACCCAAAATTTGCCGCCCCCCAGTTTATTGATGGAGGGGATCCAATTTGAAGAGCAATTTATACCAATCCATAGTCAGGTTTTTTCAGTCCGGGGTTGATATTCAGATCATGAATCAATATGTGATACATATAAAACCATGGGGGAAACTAGATTTTGGAAAGCATTGATTCTGAGGGTTTTTCTGGTCTTGTATACTAATTTTTGCAAACAAAAAATGGGGTATCACAGAGGTGAGCAAGCCTGGATGCTACTCCAGTAACAAAAATCTCTGGACGGGTGGTGGCTAAGTGGTGGTTTCACCCCCACAGCAAATCCTGTGAACTGGCATTGTGATGAATGTTCCCTGGAATGACATGGAGAAAAGTCAACATCTCCCCGTCAGGTCTTTGAGAAGTGAGTTATACAACATCTCCCCCACGCGGGTTTGTTCCTGATTTTGCGTCCAAATGGCTTGCGGTACGATGCTTCCTTCAAAGACCCCAAGTTCTGGGGCTTACGTCATGAAGCTCCACTTGAGGACGGCCAAAACCATTTCTGGTACAATGAAAATTGGAATTACTTCCCCAACAGCGTAAGCTAATGGGGTCTTCAGCCCAGAATAGCTCCGGTGTGCACTGGTGCAGGCGCCGGGTTAGGTTCAACGAGGTTCCGGAAAAGGTTCCGGAGAAGGTCTGGGAGGTTTTGGTGCAGAGCCAGGTCACGTTCAACAGGGTTCCGGAGAAGTTTCTGGAGAAGGTTCCGGAGAAGGTTCGGAAGCCTTGGTGCAAAGCCAAGTCAGGTTCAACAGGGTTCCGGAGAAGGTTCCGGAGAAGGATGAGAAGGTTCCGGAGAAGGTTCCGGAGGTTGGGGAGGCTTTGGTGCAGAACCAGGTCAGGTTCAACAGGGAGAAGGTTCCGGAGAAGATTCCGGAGAAGGTTCCGGAGAAGGTCTGGAGGCTTCGGTGCAGAGCCAGGTCAGGTTCAACAGGGTTCCGGAGAAGGTTCCGGAGAAGGTCTGGGAGGCTTTGGTGCAGAGCCAGGTCAGGTTTCACGGAAACCCAGCTGAGGTGTTTCCAGCGCTTGGCTTCGCAGCACGCTTCAGAAAGATTTGTAAAAATACAACCTTGCGGCTGCCGGGGATACCACCGAAGCTTATTTATTTTCCATACAGGATGGGGCCCCCAAGATAGCTAAGTTGGTTTTTGTTTGTGGCTGAATTAACTCTGGTTTATGGTAGATATAACGAACTAGATAACGAACTAGTATTCATGGGGTAAATCTAAACCAACGTTCACATCACTGGGAGGCCCCATCCTGTATTGAGTTGATCACATCCCGGTAGGCATTGGATTATGGATGCATTGCTGGCAGCTCAAGAGTACCTGAATCCTCAACTGGCGGGGACGCTTGGAAGGAGTTCTTAGATATGTGCCGCGCGCAGGACATATCTCCATACATATCCATAAAAAATATACAGAACACCTTTAAAACTACGAATCATGCACTGTAGTCTTGCAACAATTGTGAAGTTGCATCGACTCATGATATTCCAAATACAACCCGCAAATCCTGGAGACTCGCATCGAAAAAGTCACCCTGCTAGATCAGATGAAACTCCCTTTCGAAAGTTGCGCCATTTTGGTGCCTCGTTGCGAAATGCCCGAAATGCCCCTTGCGAAGTGTCCCACGGGAGTCTCACGGTGCCAGGCCATTGAGGTTCTGCAGAGACGCCTCAGGGTTCACCAGGTTCGGGTCGTTCGGCTTTCGAATGGTTTCGAAGTTGGCAGTTCGGACAACGTTATCCTAGCTCAGCCGATGGTTGGCATTGGTGCTCAAGTTTCGCCATGCTTAGCCGTGCTTTCAACAGATGCAGTCCCAAGTTCCACGCCTTTCATGCTGCGCGAACCGCAGGCAATCATGGCACCTATCAGGACATGACAACACGACATGACAACACGACACATTTGATCTGGCGCCTCGTCGTGCTACCGGTCTCCAGCGAAGCCGGGGACTCGCAGCTGGATGGAGACGGTCATAGGAATGTTGCCCGGCCCGGCGGCCCGGGCCAGGAGGTTTTCAGGGGGAGGGCTGTGAATTGAGTTATCAGCTGTTGAGGATTTGAAATCCTTGGCTAAAAACCAACTGGAAAGGAGCCAGAGGAGCCAGAGGAGCCAAGTAGACTTCCAAGCAGAGCATTCTTACGCCAGCCATTGAACCTGTCAAACTCCAGGTGGTGTGCCACAGCCAGCCGTGGCCGGAATCGAGTCCGACGCCACGTCCGGCCTCGACGGCCCCGACGGCCTCGACACGCAGCACCATGCGGAGCCAAAGAGAAAGCTGAAGAAGGCAAGGCAGCGAAAGATGTGAGGTGCTTCAGATCTTTCAGAATAAATGGGTAGTATTCAAAACATCTGAATAGAGATATGATATAGATATATATATATACATATACATAGATATAGATATATACATAGATATATACATATACATAGATATAGATATAGATATAGATATACATATACATATACATAGATATATACATATACGTAGATATAGATATACATATACATATGTATACATATACATATTCATATATATATAGACATACATATACATATACATATACATATGCATATACAGATACAGATACAGATACATAAACATATACATCGACATCTACATATATGCAAGAACAACGCTGCTATGTTACCATTCAAAAGTAGGTTTATACTGCAGTTCATATCATCATACACCGGATTCGATGGGTAAAAAGTTATTCCAACCATGATTTTTGGGTGTGTTTGATGGGCTATATCCTCCACTGGCCATTGAATGAGGAACATGGTGATCATCCGTTGGAGGGGTACCACATTGACAAACCCAGCTGTTCCAGGTGTTTTGCCAATCTTGGGATGGATAAGAAACACAGGAAATGAGGCGTTTTGGCTGGCAAAACACACACGCAGTATACATTCATATAATTTGAGCTTCAAGCAAAAGGGATCTCAACGAACAAAGGACGGGAATAGAGATCGGATTGAGGCTCATGTGAAAATCAGGGGGAATCACAGCTTGGCAACTGGCAATGGTGGTCCCATTGTGCTTTGAAGCATCCCATCTTTGGATACCCATTCTGTGGAATCGCTGGACCTCTGAAACCTTGAACAGCTCGACTCAGCTCGAGGCGAAAAAGAAGAAAGCACCAGCTGTAACACAGCAGCGTTGGGGAGCATGTCCTAGTTACGTGGGGGATGATCATCCAGGGCAAGATCCCAAGCATGGGACCCAATAAAGGCCATCGCACATAGTGTTTGCTTCTTGCACTGGCCAATTTTGATAAGACCTTACCCTCCCAAACTTGTTAACTTGTGACTTCCATCTGAAATCAGGTGCTTAGCTCATGATTTAGCTGACACCTGCCACCGGGGATACGGATATTGGTCTTGAATCTCCTGTTGTTGGGATGGCATGGGATGGCCTGGTTGGACCTCTTGCCACGACGTGTCAAAAAATCCGCAGTTTCCGCAGTGTCCGGTAGCGACCGATTGGTTTTTTTGGAATGTCCGAGTTCAGGGGATCAGTTTTGAGTATTGATCAAGGCGAGTTGCGAGGTAAAACATCTCGATTTCTGTTGAACCGCCTTGAAAAACCCGAGATTTCTCGGTTACAATGGAATCATGAAAATTGTAAGCACCGAAATCCCATTGATATGTCTGTCCCATTGATATCATGGGATATCATGGCACGCCATGGCTTGGCCAAAAACCCCCAGGTACAGTTCCTCGGATCGCCACCAACGGAAGCGCTGGTCGATGCGGAGAGGAAGTCTCAGGAACGGCGGACGGGGCCAGATGTTTTCAGATGTTTTGAAATATAGCCTCTGGTTATGACTAACAGTTTGCCATGGAACATATCACCATTTTTTAGCTAGGTAAATCATCTATTTCGATTAGGGCCATCGATTTTCCATGACTATGTTAGTCATAACCAGAGGGTATAATCAAGAACTAGGTCAAGAACTACTGAACTGGTCTTTTTTGTAATGTGAAAATAGTGAAATTCTTAAAAATGGTGTGCGCTTTTGAAATTCTTAAAATGCTAGATGTGAACTGGTGTACTATAATTATATTATATAATGAATGCCGTTCTGAATGTGGTAAGTGATGACGAAGGACTACGTGAAACATCGAAGCGAAAAACGCTTGTTTTGGCTGGGCTGTTCTTTTTTCGATGATCCGACCCCTCTTTTAGACTCCCAAAAGGTTAGAGGTGTCATGTGTCATTTGTACATTCCGAAAACAGGCGGGTTACCCTCTGGTAAACTAACATAGCTATAGACAATCATCATTTTTAACGGCTAATTCAGCTATAAATGGCCATTTTCAATAGCTATGTTAAATTACCGGAGGTTAGTTCTCCTCTATGTACTTGGGAGCACGGAGATTGTTGCTGGTATCATGGTCATATCAAGTCTGATGACCGCCAGACTGCTGCAAGGGACAAAACGTCCGTGTAATGCTCGATCCCCTAAGAGCCATACTTAAGCGAAGAAAACAGAGTTGATGCTGCTGGTAGTTGGAAACCATGTTACATTGGGATAAGTGGGAATTCCAACATGTACTGTAGATGTCCTCTTCTCACTGCTTCATCGTTGGACGGGGATCCCCAATATCTTTTAATTAGCGGGTTATGGTAATCAGGTAACCCCCCAAAATGGGTTTGTTTCAAAATAGGGCACCAAAATCAGATGGTTGCTCATCACTTTCCCCATGATCATTGCAACATATTCGGGGCTCCCCAATTTTCGGACAACATGTCTTGTGGATAGAAAATCGTTGCCCCATTACAGTGACCCCGAAGAGGATAGAACATCAATTTACAGTACCGCTTTTCGAGTAGGATTTTACTTTTCTTTCTTTTTGGGGTGTTGCTACAAAGCGCAATACCATTTCAAGGTATCCCAATTCTTTGACAAGCCTAATATATCATCCTTGGCAGGCGCTCGATGAACGTTTGGACATGCTGCTGCTCGGGCAGTAGCTGTGGTGGAAGATACGACTCACCAAGCTTTTTTAGGTGTACAAGCCCCAAAGGCCCTGATTGATCCTCAAAAAAAAACTTGGATAATCCTTCTCCCCATGTCAAAATGACCACCCAAATGGGACATTTGCATCTTTTCGGGTTTTCGGCTTTGAGAGTTGCTGAGCTCAGGTTGTCCAAGAAGCATGAAGAACTGATTAAGAAGCTGGAAAACTGGATGTTACGCCAGGAGCCATTGGTAATTGATGATTTTTTGGGGCACTGGATTGAGGTATTACCCAGCAAAATGGCTCTTTTGGAGCTAGAAGAATTGATAGGAGACTGGGTCTTGCCAGCTACAACCGAGGGGATGAAATGAGGGGATGACACCCACGAGGATATCACCAACAACGATGGCATGTAACGAAGAACCACGGAGGGAGCCCATCAGTTTCCGAACAAACTGCCAGCAGGGGGCCGCTATGGTCCGGCTCAGGAGGAATTGATCTTGAACATCGACAGCAAGATCTTTGGGTACGGAGCTTCATTTCAGCTCATGGGAATCATTGGTCCTTTGTTTTGGAATCGAGGGCGAATGATGATGCTCGTGCTGGTTGTGATGTTGATGATGACCGAGGTCAGACGGTGCATCTTCGTCGCTGGGCAGAAGGGTAGCACGTTTGGAAGGGTGTCATGAATCATAGGAATCATCGGAAAAGCTGGGACCAGCAGTGGGTGAAGTTGAGGTTAATGGGTATAACGGTATAACTATTGGATTTTAACCCCCATGTTAGGCATACAGTTACCCCTATGGTCCTATGGTTACAATGTCTATTTATAGAACTGCAGCCCTATTCACGAACAACTTGGTCAAGGCATACGGTTGCAGCCTACATTTTTGTATCAATGTTTTTTTGCACCTGAAATGGGGTGAGCACGGCAACCGTGGTGCAATGCTTTTAACTAAATTTACTGTATGATCACAGCACCAAGGTATAACATGGTATAACCGTAAAAAAAGAGTCAGTTGATTCTGAAACCACAAAAAACCGGCCATGTTTTTGCCACAAGTTGTGGCCTCCTGTGTCACCTTCGGCAAGTCATTGCTGTGGACCTCAGTTTCTATCCAGGCCATTCAGTTTGGCGTTGCACGGGACCCCGTAGTGCTACCTGGTTGAAATCGGCATCATTCTTACCCGTTCTTGAATACCTGTGTCTCATCTATGATACCCTCCAGTACTCTAACGGTTAGACTCTAGTTGAAGGTAGGCAATCCACTGTTTGTATAGATATTTTTCATGATATTGAGATATATTGAGCTACTTTTCACCTGAAAAACATAGCAGCACTGGTGACTGTCCATCCAGGATTTGTACAGATCTTGGCGTCCTCCACGAAGTGGAAGGTGAAGAGGGCGAAGAGGGCGAAGATGGAAGGCAGCGTGGCTGGCCGTGGTTTCACGATGCGACATCTAAATGTATACATCATTAATATTCATTAGTCATTGCTATAGATTATGTTTGATTCTTTCAACTAAATGCACTTGTTCAGCTTTATTCGGAATTGTTCAATGCATTATACTGTACTAATTTTCCCAGTATGTTCATCAAATAACTGGGTGAATTCCTCGTTTTGATGGGGGAAGTCCCAGTTGAGATTGGCTAACCGGCTGGACCCAGGGCTTGAAGCTGAGGCCAAGGATTGATCATTTTGTATGCTGTATTTCTATGTATTTCTGGGCAAAGTCATATTCATGTATACACACAGTGTATATATATACATGTATATACACAGTACAGATTATAAATTAGATATAAGGTAATTTGTATATGTATATGTAAATATGTATTTTCAAATATCTGAGATATTTGCAATAGCTGAAAGATATACAGTTCCTTTCTGCCTCCGCCAGCTCTACGAAAAATATAGCGAAGAAGGCGTTGCAGAAGTGCCTCGAGCGTTCAGAAGTCACGACTGGAGTCACCAAACGATCCATGGGTCACTGGGAAAATTCACATTTTAGCGAAACGAAAATTCAGTGAACATTTTGGAACATCCACATTTTGGAACATGAAAATTCAGTGAAACGAAATGATAAAACGTTTAATTTTGGAACATCCAAATTTCATTTTATCATTTTATTGAACAGACGCTACATAAATTTCTTCTATCCAGGTCTGGCGTTGACTGGACTGACGGGTTGACTTTCGGGGTCACTTCAGGTGATAACGTGTGGTTTTGATAGCTATGGGTCAAAATGGGAACGTTGAAGAGAACATATTGGCTGGTTAGCTTGTTTTATTTCTTCATTTGTATGGGGACATCCAGTAGCCAGTTTTACATAGCATATTTCGTAGCAGGGCACCATCGAATCCAGTGAACCGACTGAAAAAGCCCTCAGCCGAGCCCCCGGAGTGTTTCGGTCTTTGGGAAAAGAACTAGATCTTTGCGAACAAAATACAGCACTTTTGATTGGTGGTTTTTAAACATCAAAAATGGGGATGATGAGCCTGCACGGCTCATATTGCGCTGCCTCAACCACCATTTCTTTTGATAGGCTCTGGTCATCTACGCTTTCCGACCCTGCAGAATCCCATACCTTTAATCCATAAATCAATAAATCGCTGATTTTCAATGGCGTTGTTCTCAAATTTGTTGGATTCCACCACCAATCGGTGGCACGTCCATGTCACGAGGTTACAAGGGACGCAGCAGACCTTCGACTCTCAGGCGAAAGAAGAATTCGGAGCTACCAGTGATACTGTATCACCAATGATTTCTGAAGATTTACTGCGATAATTTAGGGAGTTCATATATTGAATCAATGGCCAACGTAGCTAAGATGAAGACTTTTTGGCTGCCATGAGTTGGCGGCAGCCTGACCATTTCTAACAGACTTCGATCCGGCAAGTTTGAACTGGCTGGCGAAAGGGTAGCCGTATGGTTCAATCCAGTTGAACATCAAAATAGCTTGCAAATGGAAAATCATTCCCCCTACGGATGGTATAATGATTATTAATGATAAATGGCGTTTGACCCCAAATAGAAGAGTGAAAACATGTGGCCATGTGGCATGAATTGGCAGTAAAAATCTAAGCGCTATGTCCAAGTATTTATTTCCGAGTAAAAAAAAAAACGACATCACTACGACAGCACTGTAAACGAAGGTCATGTTTCAGGGGAACCCTGCTATTGCCTGGCTTCGGCTGTCAGGTCGGTGAGTTACCGCAACTGGTTGTTTAACGTAGCGAAGTGGAAAATCACCATCTTAAAGAACGGTAAATCATCGTCATGTCTATAATCTACAGTATTTTTCATGGGCCATCTATTCCATAGCAAACTCTTAGTCATAATTAGAGGGAAAATCACCATGAAATCACCATTCTTTTGTGGCTTAGATCCCATCAAACATCATCATCCGCTATTGCCTGAAGGTTTAGATCCCATCAAAAATCACCATCCGCGAAGTTCCCATTAAATTCGACCAAAATCCCTATGAAATCACAGAAACATCTTGACCCAATGGTGACCTGACAGAAAGCTGGGGAAGATTCTGCCTGCAAGGCATCCCCTAGTAGCTCCCAGGTGCTTGTGGGGGTTTGAGCGGAGAAAGCTCTGGGCAAAACTGGGGAAAACTGCAACAGAAAAGCTGAATGTCACAGAATGTGAATGACAATATACTCTAGATATCTCTAGATCAACTCAAATATGGTCTAGATCTTCAGAGAATGACTGGTACAATGAACAAATCTACTCTAGATACTGTATCTCAAATGAGCATTCAAAGGTTCAATGAATGCCAATCTGATAATCTGTGATTTGTTGCCGCTGTTCGGGGCTTGGGTTGTCACCCGTGAATCAGCCGCAAACCTCTCGGTCCGGATGATTATCCTAAGAATGACCAGATCATCCAGAATACTACTGCAAAATATCCAGGTACAGTAACTGTTCCAGTTTGCAGTGATAGACATTTTTTTCCACACTAACAAACATGAGGTTTGTTATCCCAGTAAGCCATAAAACATACTGTCGCCACTTTGTTACCTCCAGATCCGAATTCTATCCCAACTTGTATATATAATCAATCAGGTGAATAACCCAATGTCAAACCCGAATCTGCACCATTTCAAACATAATAAACCGTCACCATACCCCAACAATTTGGGGTATTCGGCACTTTTTACATGTTTGTCGGCATGTTGTGTAAACCTTGGGTCCAATGTTTTTTTGTACAGCAAAACCCGGTGATAAACCACATTGTACCGCATTATGTTTGGTTTAGTTCACTTCTTTTTAAACAATATAGATATGGGTGTGTCTGAAAATAGTGTACCCCTAAACCCAATGGTTAATGATCATTATCCCTATTAAATGGCTATAATTGGGAATATACCCTATTTTCAGACAAACCCATATAGATGTCCTCCAGGTCTGGATTGTAGCCTCACAGAACCACCCATCGCCTGTTTGGGATTCGATGGGTGGTTGCGGTTGATGATTTATCCCACTAGACCTACCCTTTGGTTATTGAACGGAGCGAACTGGACCATTAGCGGCTCTAATAGGTAAATCCACAGCAATCATCTATTTTCATGGGCCATCTATTCCATAGCAAACTCTTAGTCATAACCAGAGGGAAAATCACCATGAAATCACCATTCTTTTGTGGCTTAGATCCCATCAAACATCATCATCCGCTAAGTTCCCATGAAATTCCACCAACATCCCTATGAAATCACCAGTTTTCCTGCAATATCCTCAATTTTTTCCAACGCGTTTTGGCAAAGCTTCGTTCAGGTGAAGATGAAGCAGGTGGTGTCGGCGGTGGCCAGGAGAGGGGCTGCACCACAGGCGCCAATCGCTGGGAAACTCCGTGTGGCCGGCGATTTTTCAGCCAAGATCTCCAAATTTCCCATGATTTACCGAGAAATTTGGAGAATTTCGGAAAAACCATGGGGATCCAAGTCATCCAAACATGACTCGGAATTCGCCAGCATCTGGGGCTTTGACCGGATTTCTTTTTTGAAGCGATGGACATGGTGGTCGTTCAATGGTGATACACGGAAAACTGGTTGATAACCATGATGACTAAGCCCGAAAAGGCTGATGGAGATAGTGAGATAACCTGACCATCAAAATGGGGTCCCAACATTGAGCTCCAAATTGTATCCATGACCCATGGTGCACAAATTTATCTTGTTTCGATCCAATTGATGGAAACAATTGGAAACATATCCCTTCATTGACTAAATGGATTCCTAATGCTGAACTGCTGTCCTGGTGATGGTTTGCTCTTGAAGCACAGATTTTTGCCTCGAGATTCAGATACATCATCGCTTCTCAGCACAGCAGTGGACGTGGCCGCTGCCCGGTTCTTTGCGGAGTAATGGTTAATATGAACCGCATTTTTAATGGGTTGAAAGGAAATCTCTATAGGAGATCATTGTTTTTCATGTTTTCTATAGGGGCTTCAGATTTCTCTTCACCCAATGCTGGCGATTCGCCAGAAGCAGAAGAGCAAGTTGAGGAATAGCAGAGAAGTTCAGGCGCGGCACACCAAAACCACCTCGTTGTCTTTTTGCACGGGACAACCTCACCGAAAACAGGATGGGTCATGGGTATGGCGAATTTTGGGACCCTCAAAATCGATGGGTAAACATAAGAAGCATGTGGGTCTGTTGGTACCTCATGGTTGAACCATAGCCAGCCAGCAAATCTGAAACATGTTGTAACTCAATGAGATCCAACAGAAACATTTTCATGTTTATCAAAACCCGGGTACGTCTACTAACCGATCCCATGAACGAAAGATATTGTGGTCCGGGGTAGAATATGGATCAAGACCTAGCCTGGGTTATCCCTGCCCCCTTATAAATATCCTCCAGAAACCATAGTTTAGTTGGGGATTTACACATATTTGGGAGCTTAGAATGGGGCTGTTCTTTGATGGGGGATTTGTGTCATCCTTTGTGCCGTTTTTTTGTCTATGGGCACTACTAGAGGGACCCCTCCATGAATTCGAGGTCACTCCTGGGTTGTGGGATGCCGATTTCTGCCAGGACTTCTACATGCAACAACGAATCAGAGAGATGAAGAAAACCAGGCCGCGCCTCGTGTTGGGATTGACGGTTGACCCTTCTCATCAAGGCGCTGGGTTTCAGACCACATTTGATGTTTTTGCACATGCCAATTGTTTGCTGATTCGAGTGCTTCATCTTGCGATCATATTCCCCATATTCCCAAGTACTTTCTGTATCTTTATGTCATGAAAGTTCCTTTTTTCTTTGGCGAGTCATGTCCATATCTCTGTTCAAAAAAATCCAGGAGACATCCCAACGGCCCGGCAGAGACCTTCAGGGAGCGGCTCGGGGACTAACCACTGGGCCCGAACATGGTGTTTTTTTTTTGATTTTCTATGATGGGATTCTAGAAAAAGAGTCAAAGAATTATATACTTATACATGGTATACCCCCCCAAAGACCTACCGCCTTGTTATGGTTAAATTTGGGCAGTATGTATGTTAGAGAGGGGGTACCATATCTATATATATCTATAATTAACTGGATAGAGGAAGAGAACATAATCTAAGAATCTATATAATTTTGTACTTAGAGTAAAATTTTCCAAGTGCGGTTGCAAATGTTTGCAAACGAAAGGAGTTTTGGATTCAAGATTCAAGATTCAAGATCTAGAAAGAAGTTCCTGAATCCAGAACCTCTCCTAGTCCAAGCCCATGGATTCAAGAACTTCTTTCTAGATCTTGAATCTTGAATCCAAAATTCCTCTCGTTTGCAAACGTTTGCAAACGCACTTGGAAAAATGTGAAAGGTTTATTAAAGGCAAACTGAATGTTAAACAAAAGGTATGGTAGAGGTACAGTAGTATGTTCAAGGTCAAATAAATGATATATTAAAGGTATATATATATACACCTTCAAGGAATATTACATGTGTAGTAAACGACATTTTTAATAATATATTATATATATATGTATATCACTGATATATCAAATGGAATATTAACGATTATTCAATGGTATATTCAAGGTATATTAAAGGCAAACACGGTAAATACAGGGTATTTTCAAGATATACTAAAGAGATATATATATATATATTATATATATATTCATGGCCAGACTGGAATATTACAGGTATATTACAGGTATATTACAGGTATATCAAATGGTATATTCGAGGTGTATTAGATGGTATACTAAAGGTATATTAAAGGTATTTTAACAAGTCAATCAAATTGTGTATTAGAGGTAGATTCATGGTATATAAATAAAATTGTATTCTAAAAGCATATCTAAATCATATAGTAATGGTATATCACATGGAATATTAATGATTCTTACATGGTAAACTAAGTATAGATTGTATAGTAAAGGTTTATTAAAGGCAAACTAAAGGGCAAGTAAAAGGTATTTTAGAGGCACAGTGGTATTTTCAAGGTCAATTAAATGGTATATTAAAGGTATATACCTTCAAGGTATATTAAAGGTGTAGTAAACGACATTTTTAATAATATATTAATGGTATATCAAACGGAATATGAACGATTCTTAAATGGTAAACTAAGTATAGATGGTACATTAAAGGTGTATTAAAGACAAATTACATGGAAAATAAAAGGTATTCTAGAGGTAGAGAGGTATCCTAAAGGTGTATTAAAGATGTTTTAATGGCCAATAAAATGGTATATTTAAGGTAGATTAAATGGTATATTTAAGGTATATAGATTAAATGGTATAGTGAGGTTTTATGTATTGAAGGTATATTTAAAGTATACTCAAGGTATTTTCAAGACCAATTAAATTGTATATTAAAGGTAGATTCATCGTTATCCAATGGTATGCTACAGGTATATTAAATGGTATAATAAAGTTTTTTTTAGACGGTATTTAAAAGGGGACATTGAAGGTATGCCAAAGGTTTACTAAAGGTTTATTAAAGATAGGTTCATGGTCAATAAACTGGTATATTAAAGTATATGGAATCTATAATGAAGCTATATTCATTGTATATTAATCAAGATATTATTCTTACTCTGTTGCATCAAAAATGCAGACATATCCAAAATGTGAGAATCTGGTGTTTTGAAAGAAATATTGTATGATTGAAGGAAGGCTTAATATTAGTTTGAAAGGAAGACTGCACCTCTTCAGAAAGAAAACACTGCATGTTTAGAGGAATGCTCTATATTTTGTACGGGTACTGTTTCTTGAACGAAGTCATGCTTTGTCTGGAAGGAAAATTGCAGTTTATGAATGAACGTGCTTTTTTTAAGCATGGAAAGGAACGCTGCAATTTAAAACAGGTTGCTTCCTTCAAGAAATGTTGTGCTTGCTGACCTGAGTATGTGCTCATCTTTTTTGAAAGTAATAGTGTACTTACTTTGTTTTTGCAAAAGGTTCCCAACAAATACTACCTCTTTGATATCAACAAAAAGCAAAAAAATGTAGATCTTTTGGGGGGGTGTAGCTTATACATATCTATATATATATACATATACATATATATATACATTATATATATATACATTATATATACATATGTATATATATATACTCATGTATAATTCATAAATAAAAGAAATATCCAATGCTGGCCATGGATCCAAGTCCTGAGATTTCCGCAGGACCGGGTGGCTGATGCCATCACGAACCCCATCTTCGAGATGAGTTGCCTGGCACTGGGAATCTCCTCGGGGAGCGTGGCATGTCTGGGATGAACTTTAGTGATTTTATGGTGATTTTATCGTGATTTTATGGTGCTATAATGGTGATCTAATGGGATTTACCCTCTGGTAAACTAACATAGCTATTGAAAATGGCCATAGAAATAGTTGATTTACCCATTGATAGCATGGTGATTTTCCAGTTCGTTATGTAAACGTTTACCAGAGGGTAGCGAAGTTGGTTTGTAACTATACTGATCATCCGCACAGGATGGACTTTTGCGAGTGGTGTAAGTTGGTTTAGATTTACCCCTATGAATACCTTAGTTATCTATAGTTATATATATATCTACCATAATAAACCATAGATAAACCACTTACAAGGCAACTGAACGCTATCTTGGGGGCCCCATCCTGTATGGTCCAATTGACATTGCAAATCACCGCCACTTTGGGACAATTCTCCACGAATTCATGGAGTGTTTCCCTTGAAAGATGGGCTAAAAACATGCGGGAAGAAGTGGTGACATGCCCAAGAATGGGATGCTGCTTCCCAATGACATTTTTCCGGTCAAAAGCACCATCTCCAGTGGTGAGGATATTCCCCAGCGAGTACACCGGTTTCGCTCACCGTTGACGTGACACATTTTCTGGGGTATAAAACAGGGCATCTTTTGATATCCTGAGTTTCTGATCTCGTTTCATCGCTGTTCACCATGCCATTTCGCCATGATTTTGTGCTCAGACATGATGGCCTTATGTCCCTTGGATCTGCAACATGGAGGGACTTCTCCTGGTGTATCGAAAAGGAGACCTAGAAAAAAGTGTGGGTTTGTCGAAAAAGGGATGGACCCCCATCCGTTGTGGATTTATGGAGGAAACGGGGGATAATTCTCAATAAGATTTGGCCATGAAATTATGGCGAAAATGAGGAACCCCAAAAAGGCATGGGATGGGTTATGTGGTGCGGATGTGCGATCGGGATCACATCCTCAGCATTCTTATGTACTGAACGACCTCATCGAAAGTTGTGGTTGGTACCGAAGCGGAACACCCAAAATGGGCCAACGCTCGACTGAATAATTTTCCAAGACAGTTAAACACGTGAATTTAGAGTGAGCACACATTTCATATTTGAAGAAAGGAATAGCTCGAATCTTTGGGACCTGGTAAAATTTCCAGTGCTTCAAATTGTATCCACAATGATGTTTGAGACTCTTCCAACGGTGCGCCGGGGTTCCCCAGTTTTTTTCGGGTCACCTGAGGCCTCCTCAGTGCAGTGGTGGTAGGCTGGTCCCATCTAGCTAGCCTGGCCGGTGGTGCGCGGGGAAATACGTGCTATGCTCCTATAGGGCAATGCTAAGAAAATCATCCTGGGGAGCGTATTTTCGAGGCTTCAGAACAAATCCTGGGGAGAATCCGATAATCCGATTCGCAAATCCTTCAAAATGGGGATGATGACGCAGCGCCCAAAGACCACCTGTCTGATGCTTTGGGACCGTAGCAGTTGGATGATTTGCATCGGGCAAGATAGAAATGGATCACTCAATCAATAGATCAAGAAATACAGAAATGCCAAAAACAAAGAAACCATGAGAACAAATCCATAGATGGGCCAACATGTTCCATCTTGAAGGGTCACACACACACACATAATATAATACAACGACTATAATATATTGTAATAAAATATGATATAATGTAATCTGATATAATATAATATCATATTATATAATATAACATAATACAGTATAATATAATATAATACAATGTAATATAATACAATATAATATAATATAATATAATAATATATATATATATATACATATATCTAAAAATAATATGTAATATAGATAATGTATAAATGAATAATATGTAACACATATGTATATATATAATATAATATCTATAATATAATATCTGTAAAATATATAATACATAGTATATAAGATATAATATATAAAATATAATACATAAATAATATATAATATATAGTATATAGTATATAATATATAATATATAATATATAATATATAATATATAAAATATAATATATAATTTATAATATAATATATAATATATAATATAATATATAATATATAATTTAATAAAATATATAATTTATAATATAATACATAATATATAATATATAATATATAATATATAATATATGATATATAATATATGATATATAATATATAATATATAATATATAATATATAATATATAATCTCTATATATATATATATATACATATGATATAAAATATAATATTTTATAATATATATATATATATGTATCTAGAGTATAATATGATATAATATAATATAATACAATATGATATAATATAATATAATATAATGATTAATGTATATATATATATGTATCTACACATAATACATAATATATACATATATATCGTATATACATGATATGATGCATATCTATATTTTATTATATATACATGCAGATCTATAACACGATATTTGTAGACACGTCAGTAGTGGCTGTGGCAGGCATCGAAGTGAACTGGTTCGCCCAGAACATCACGGCCACTTCTCCACCTTTGGTACCTTGTCCATATGATTTTCTCGGCCTATCCTAAGGGAAGGGAATCAATACATATTGTGGATTACAGTGGGATTACAATAACATAAAATTGACATGTAAATCTAACTATATCAATATGAATATCAATATCAATCTGAATATCAATATCAATCTATCTCTCTGTCTGTCTGTCTGTCTGTCTGTCTATCTATGCATCTATGCATCTATGCATCTATGCATCTATGCATCTATGCATCTATGCATCTATGCATCTATGCATCTATGTATCTATGTATCTACGTATCTATGTATCTATGTATCTATGTATCTATGTATCTATCCTATCCTATCCTACCCTATCTTATCCTATCCTATCTAATCTAGCCTATCGATCCTATCGATCCTATCGATCCTATCGATCCTATCGATCCTATCGATCCTATCGATCCTATCGATCCTACCGATCCTATCGATCCTATCGATCCTATCGATCCTATCGATCCTATCGATCCTATCGATCCTATCGATCCTATCGATCCTATCGATCCTATCGATCCTATCGATCTATCCTATCCTACCCTACCCTACCCTACCCTATCTATCTATCTACCTAGCTATCTATCTATCAATCTATCAATCTATCAATCAATCAATCAATCAATCAATACATGCATACATACATACATACATACGTACGTACATACGTACCTACATACATACATACATACCTACGTACATACATATATACATACATACATACGTACATACATATATACATACACACATACCTACATACCTACATACCTACATACCTACGTACATACATACTGTACATATACATACATACTGTACATATACATACATACTGTACATACATACTGTACATACATACTGTACATACATACTGTACATACATACTGTACATACATACTCTACATACATACTGTACATACATACATGCATGCATACATACATGCATACATACATACATTCATACATACACACATTTGTATATATATATATAATACCTGTTAGATGTCTACGAAACACAGCGAGCAATGGGATAAACATGGGATAAACCATCTACCATATCAATACTAGATGCTGGGTATTTGCAAAGTCTTGTCGGGAAGGCGAATGGCTATCAGATGGAACATGTATACGTGGGATGGAATTGCTTCTTACTGGGATTTAGTTGGCCCCAGTGACCAACTACAAAGTGCTGGGGCTGAGCTGGCTGTGGTGACGGCTGTGGTGAGTGGGAAGCAAAAGAGGAATCGGAACACTGGAGTGACATTGCTGTGACAAGGTAGTGTTCGTTTTTTGACATACATGGTTCAATAAATGAAGTTTTTGGCCGGGTACCATAATTATTAGTACCCCCAAAAAGGGATGGTTCCTTTGGCCGCAGATTTTGGAGCTCAACCCATGCAACTGCTCGAAGCGACAAGAAATAAATGGTGGATTTCGAAGATTTATTTCTTCAGAAGCCAGTCCAAATGTATCCAAATGTGACTGAGTAATCCCATCCCTCTAATATTAAACACTCCCTTAAATCCCCCTACGAAAGTCTGGTTTATGGCGGGTGTTTAATCTTCGGAAGAGATGGGATTGGCGTGCGAATCTTCTCGGATCTCAGTGAATTCCAATTTTTACGACCTCACAACCTCGGCCAGCTGTCGACCAGTCGACCAGAAGCCTCGGTCACCGGGGGAATGTTCAAAGGGACTTGACCCGACAAAAATGGCAGTGGTGAGTGCCAGCTTGAATCAATATAGAGAATTGGGCTCATCCTATGAAATTGGCCCAAAGCTCAATGAGATTCTGTCTACCGGGCTCCCTTATTCAGGGTTCACTGGGATTCCGCTCCTAGGCACTGACCATCATCAACCATGTGGTGAGTGTGATCTTTACCGTTGAGCTGTCCATGAAGGTACGTCCCTTTTTGGACCAGCCACGGCATGGCAGACCCTATGGAAACTCTGGAGAATGGGCGAAGTCAGTAACAGGATCTAATCCCCATACTTCCTAAGATTAGATGAATCTATGATCTATGATGATACATGATGGTGTATGTTCTTCATATGAAGGTTTCCTGAAATAGGGCTACCCCCAATAGCATCATCTGTTTCTAGATGAGGGACAAGCCCTGAGACTGCCCTGGGGGATCCAACTGAGGGGTTCCCCTGGCATCAATTCAACAGCCCTAGGATTGATCAGTCTTTGGCATTAACGTGCTTTTCTTCTCTTGGAACACGAGAGAATTGACATTACCAATGGATATTAAATGATATTGAGACCTTTCCGAAGTCATGGCTGTCGCCTAAAGTCAAACACCCGCATAGCTTTGGATAGACAAACCATGATGAGCATCTCATGTTTAGGCACCTGATAACCTGTTGATTTTCCGTAGCTATGGTAAATTACCGGAGGCAACATAACGGTAGAACGGGGTGGTTGCATTGATAAGATCACCTCGATTGGGCGCTGTGACCCCCTGCAGATCTACGTGTTGCAACTGCGATTCTTCAAAGTGGATATCAGTGCCTCTGCTCAACTGATCTCAACTGCGGCTGTGTCCACATCTGATTTTGGCTGACCCGGCAACAAAAGGCAGGCCTTGGCAGAGGGTCTCTTCAGGTTGTGGCGATAGTAAGAAAAGTGAGCTCACCCATTGAAAATGAAACAACACACACACATACATATATATATACATATATATATATATAATCTATATATAGATATACTTACTTCGTAAACTTGTGGGGCTACGATCGAATCGGACAGCCCACTTTGATCTCCAATAACTTTGAGCCAAGACATCGACGACTGCGCAGAAAATTTCTCCACAGAAAGTCCATCAGTACAGTACTGGAGCTGTTCATTTTGAGGTTTCATTTGTATACCATCTGGTTATGACTAACAGTTTGCCATGGAACATTTTGCCATTTTACAGCTAGGTAAACCATCTATTTCGACTAGGGCCATTGATTTTCCATGGTTATATTAAATAACCAGAGGGTAGGTAGGATGAGTTGTTGTGAATTCTGATTTGGCTTGTCAGATATCACTATTTTTTGGGGAGGCATAGGATGTTTTTGTGAAGCATCAAAATTCCCCTATGATCTCCAGTCGGTGGCTCATCTGCTGGTAGGGATGTTTCCTCCCTGTTTCTTGAAGCCTCTCGCTGTTTGCAGGATCCCAATTTTTTCCAAAATTTCCTGTGTTTGAGGATTTCAATTAATTTTTCCCAATTTTTCCCGCTGATTGTTGAACCCTCATCCGGTGTGAAAGGATTCCAAATTCCCGCGACGAGGTTGGCACATCCTGGATGTGGTGGTGGTCAGTACCGGATTGGTGGAGCTTGTGATTGATCCCTGGCCGACCTATTTACCGAGTTGAAAATTCATGGTGAAGGCGTTCAGAAAAGCATCAATTCTATGTTGAAGTAATTCTGATATGATTGGACATATTATCATTGCTGAGATATATATATATACATATATTATGCTGTATATATATACATATATTATGCAGTATATATATATATTATGCTGTATATATATATTATGCAGTATATATATATTATGCTGTATATATATATTATGCTGTATATATATTATGCTGTATATATATATATTATGCAGTATATATATATTATGCTGTATATATATACATATATTATGCAGTATATATATTATGCTGCAGATATACATATATATATATTATGCAGTATATATATATTGCTATATATATATATATTATGCAGTATATATATTATGCTGCACATATATATATATATATTATGCAGTATATATACTATGCTGCATATATATATATTATGCAGTATATATATATATTATGCAGTATATATATATTTATTTATTATGCTGTATATACATATATATTTATTATGCTGTATATATATATTATGCAGTATTATTATGCAGTATATATATATAATATGCTGTATATATATTATATTATGTATATATATATATGTATTATGCTATATGTATATACATATTATGCTATATGTAAATATTGTAAGTGGCTATAATCCGATTTGCTGTTGGTTGAATGCCAATTTGTCTGGATTTTGTGCACTTTCTGTTGGACCTGCCATTTTGCTTTCGCCCAGTTTACTTCCAGTGACGGTGAAGTCAGTGACGGCCAACCGTGGGTCTCGATCACATTTTTTTTTCGGTAAAACATGAACAGAATCCGGTGCTGTAGGGGCTTCATAAGTTTGTTATCTTGATATATACACGTGCATATATATATATATACACATACACAATAGATATACACACTTATATATATACATACATATATAAACACTTTTATATATAAACACTCTTGCATATATAGATATAGATTCTTACATAGATGAATATACATAAATATCCAATAATATACATAATTATATATGAATATACATAAATATACATAGGTAGACATAAATAGATATAAATAAAGATCGATAGACATAAATACAAAATTTTACATAAATGCACATAAACTTACATAAAGCTACATAAATATACATAAATGTACATAAAGTTACATAAATACCGAGACATATGCAGACATATAGATACATACATACATAGATACACAGATACATCGATACATAGATACATAGATACATAGATAGGTAATCGGTACATAGATACATCGATAGATAGATAGCCAGACAGACAGATAGATGGATACATGCATGGATGAATGCATGTATATATATATATGTATTCATATATACATATATACACATTGCAATACACATGTACATATATATAATTGTATACACATTTCTACAGGTATATGATATATATATAAATATTTACACATGTGCACATACATTTACACATATTTTACATATAGATACATGTGTATATATATATATATGTAGACATGTACACTGTATATATATATATACACATGTATGCATATATATATATATATGATGCATATATATATATAAATATTTGTAAATACATATCTACATATCTACATATCTACATATATATATATATAGATACACATGCATGCATACATACATACATACATACATACATACATACATACATACATACATACATACATACATACATACATACATACATACATACATACATACATACATACATACATACATACATACATACACACACAAATTACAATAATATGTGTGTATATATTTAAATAGGTGAAGGCACCTTGATTACTTTGATGCATTTTTCATTTGGACATCGGTGTTTTTCAGGTCGGTCCAGTGTTTCATTGGATAATTATTGGGATCAGATGATGCTCAGGTGGTGGTTTGGGACTCTGGGTTAATCTCATGGTCATGGTTCCTGTCATGTTCGAGATTCGCTGCTTCTGGATTCCACTGGGCCAGAACCACCAATCAGACGTAAGTATCTGACACCGAGACCGAAGCAATTCGATTCATTGGAGATATATATTCTTGGTTGAACATGGTTGAACTGGAGATTGCCAGCTCAACGCTGGGGATTGAAGTCCCACTGGCCCCAACAATGGAGGTTTTCGTCGACATTTCGGGGATGATCACCTGGTGATCCTTCCATCCACCAGTAACCGTGGGAAACTGACGGCTAAGGACTTGGTGAATCTGATGAACACCTGCATCTTGGTGGCGGTAGCAACTGAGGGGGTTTCCCCGGACAGGGTCAAAGGGTCAAATGTTCACAGAAACTCCAGACATTTCCTTTGGACACTTGGATTTGTCGCGGGACGTGGACGTCCATGTTTTGTTGGTATTCTATGGTATTCTGGTATTCTTTGTCCAGATTTACCAATTTTGATTCCGAGCCACAAGGTGAGAATTGCTCCGAATCAGGCTGGGACATCCCCAGGAGGATCTTTGAGCGTGATGTGATGCGCTTCGGGCAATTCTTGTTGACATTATTCCAGGTTGGTTGCAATGCAACCGATTTTGTCAAGCCAAAAAAAACATTGTAGTACGCACTTTTTTGTTGAAGCATCATCATTTTATCATATTTTATCTTCCTTGGTTGATTAAGGAATTCAAATAACATTTGCAGTTTCATCATCACTTTGCAAAGGCCCATTTGTTCTTCCAACAAGGGGGATCTTCCATTTTTATCGACTTTCTCTGGTCCTACAATCTTGGACTGCGAAGCCTCTTGTTGCCTCTTGTTTCCAAGTCTCCAATAAGTTGCTTCGGTTGCAACCATTCTCTCCCAGTATTTGTTGCTTCGGTTCCTTTCATTGTTGAGATATAACATGTTAGTCTCGATGGGATCACGAGTGGATTTGTTTTCCAAGTCACAAAAACACGAGTGGATCATAAGTATGGATCCCCCAACATCTACACCGTTTCTTGGTTGCGATTTGATTGCCGTTTTCTTGGTTCTCAAATACATTTTTCATCGCAAGGCTTTGTTGTGGTCGAGACTTTCAAATCGCAGCCAGATGAAATCACTCAGAAGTTTTGGTGAATTTCAGATTTCGGGTTCAATCAGTTCAATCCCAAGGGAAATCGTTGGGATTGTGTTGCAATCCCCATGGGAAATCCAAGAAAAATCCCCATGTTTGATCTCGGTGTTGAGGGTAAAGATTGGTCAAACATGGCCACAAATCTTCAGATGATTTAGATATCATATGAATCATATCATTCATATCCAAAAAAAATATTAAAACAATGATATCTAATAGGATCTAATAATTTGATTGATATTTACAATATATTTACAATATATTTACAATATATTTACAATGTATCCGAAACATATGAATATGAATATTCATATGGATACACAAATGGACATGACTGTTGATATCCCATATTCTTTTCTTACCATTTTTTCATTCTTGTACTAGTTACTATTTTATCCCATAATTATGCAAGATATCAATACATCCATGATGATTGTACCCTATATGTTGGATTAATATCCATGGTATATTGATTGTTCATAAAACATAGTTGTTAATCTCCACGTATATATATATATATGGTATATGTATATGTATATGTATGTATGTATATATATATATATATCCATGATATAATATCACTACCCATGAAAAATCCGGTCAGAGGCCTGGATTTGGGCATCCTGCGCGCCCTCCGCATCGCGCGCGCCGTGCGCTTGGCGCGGCTGGCGCGCTTAGTTCCTTGGTTCCGAACAAGTATTCAACGATTGGTTGGTTATGGTCAATAGGGGATTTAACATGATTTAACCTAGAGTTTAACCCAGAATCGTGGTTCTTTATGTAGATATTTTTACTAAAAAATAAGGCGTTAACAACTCACCAAAATAATAGTGGTTCTTTATGGACCCATGACATGTCGATCATCCACAAAAAATCGGGAGCGGAAATCCGGGTGTTGATTCGGGGTTGATATGTTCTCAACAAACATGGCGTGAAAAACAAGGGGATATGTTTTTTTTCCAGGAAGTAAGCTGAACAAACTTATGTGATTCTGCTGACAAGACTGGAATTTGTTGGACCACACACATGTGGCTTCAGCAAATCAGCAGAAAGCTGGTTCGGAAACGATGAAATGCTGGGGATACGATCAGCATGGGGATGTCACTGACAGTGGGGCAAGACTTCGCCTGTGCTGAGGTACAGTACATCCGCGAACTGAGACGTTTAATCATTTCGGTCCTGGCGACCTTGAAATCAGTGCTTCTTGGTGGTACTGATCATCAGGGAAATCCACGAAGCCATGGAGGGTTTGATGCTAAAATCATCTATAAATTGGGTATTTTCCTGCCATGGAGCTGATTACCGTAGGGCAAGTGCTTGTTTCAATCCACTTTTTGGCGGAGCAACCCAGTTGCGGGGCACTTGCATGGTTAACTCATATTACAACTCTTTTCGGATCTTTTTTTGGTGAAGACATCCTTTTGGCGTTGTTGAATCCCCCCAACTGCTTGGAAGACCTCTGAAGATTGCCACCAGGTTCTGGACCATTGTCCTCTTAGCACTCATCATCTACACTTTCGCGGCGCTCCTGCAGCATCAAGTCTGGGCTCAGTCTTAAACCATCCCATTTTGGCACTGGTGAAGTGAGATCCTAGCAAAGAAGAATCAGAGGAGGCTCTTGATGATGTTTGTTGCAGATCATATTTTCAGTTTCTAATTAGCAACATGATACAGTCTGTGTGTATATAATTGTATCTATATATATATTTACACACACACAACA